GTCCAGGCACAAAACGTACTCTCGGGAGTGGAAGGAGAAGGGGAATGGAACAAAGTAAACTGGGCAGCCTGGGTGGCTCAGCGCTTTAGCGCCACCTTCAGCCCAGGGCGTGATCCTGGAGACGCAGGATCGAGTCCCGCATCAGGCTCCCTGCATGGAGCCTGTGTCTCGGCCTCTCTCTCTTTCTCATGAATAAGTAAATAAAATCTTAAAAAAAAAAAAAAAAGTAAACTTTAACTGCAAAAGCTAGCTCAGAACCTTCTAACCTTCTCAGTATATAAAGGAAGAAAACACATTCTAACCTCTCAGTATACAAAGAGGTACCACACAAAGAACTTCTGGGGTGAGCTCAGGAAGGCTGATGTTGAAGGAGATGAGTATTATTAACCTCAGCCACCTGCCTTTCTGGATTACAGTGAAACCATTAGCAGCTGGATGAAGTTCCTTGCTTTGGGTCAAAGAGGGACTGAGGGTGATGCCTCAGGTTCCCTGTATTTACATGCAAGGATCAGCGGCTATAAAATGCAGCCTCCCATGCAGCCCACTGACCTCAGTCACTGGCAGAACCACTTATGAGTTGGGGGTAGAAGGATAAAGACTAATTCACTGAAGCATGCAGACCCATAAATCTCACTATCACCTTCCTAGAGTCCAAATTAGACCACTTAGGCCTTTAAAGCATAGTCCCCAAAACCCCAGGGTTACTGAAAAAGAACAGGAAAGGCTCATGAATCACTTCTTTGCCAAAAATTACCAGATATTGTACAAAATTAATATCTAGTCCTTCCTCTCAGGAAGTCCAGGGTCAACATATGAGTTAGATAAACATTTACCTTTAAAAATGACCAATCCAGAAATTTTAAAAAACAAAAAATGTTTTGTTTTATTCCCAAGTTATTGTTTTTATCTGAATTAGTTGCCAATGTTAACAAAGTTTGAGTTCACACATACACACACAAACACACAACCAGCTACTCTTCTAGAGAGACTGGGTGATCTGGCCATCTTAGGACCACGTTTCTTGCCAGGGTCAGTGACAGGAGAGGGTGCAGTAGCTGCTTTCAGACAGAAGATGTTCTCTCCACTTCTCCAGAACCCTCAGCAGCATCCTGGTCTCCCAGAATTAATTAATAAAAAAAAATATTTTCTTTGGGAGAAGAAATTTCAGTGTTTATCTCTGTATTGATATACCACTCGCTAGACTAAATAATCAAGGGGGGGAAAAGCATATAAGCACACAAAATTAGGGAACAGCCCCAGATATAGAGGAAAAAGTTAGATAAAACAGATGATTTTCTATGAATGTATAAATCACCGAAACGAAACCCAGAAAGAGAGCAAATCTAAAAGAGCACCAGGCTTAGGTAGTTTTACAGGGCAATTTCACCAAAATTTGAAAAAACAGATCATTTCAAAAGCATTTAAACTGGCTAAAGCAGAGAAAAGAAAAAGCTTTTAATAAAGCTAAAGAAAGTACTAAAACAACTTGATAAGGGTTACATTTAAAAACAAAATTACACACCCGTCTCACAAATGACAATGTAAAATGACTAAGTTAAATATTAATACAATCTGGCTACACATTAACAGAGTTTTCAATGATGATTCAATATAAAAACTGTTACTAGAATTCATATTAACAGGTCAAGGAAAAACATCTACATGATAATTTCACAGACACTAAAACAGCATTTGATAACATTCAAGAACCATTTTTGATTTAAAAAACAAACAGCAACAACACACCCTGTAGTAAAATAACTAGTGTGGCAAAAATATTAAAAGTATTCTCAGTAAAGTAAGGAACAAGACATCATCCCTTGTATATATTCTGTTCTAGAAATATAATGCAACCAAAAATGAGAAACAAGAGATATAAAAAAGTAGAAAACATGGGATGAAATTCATATTATTTGTAACTGACATATGATATCTGAAATTCCAAGAGAACCAACTGCAAAAACAACTAGAAACAATGATTACATAAGTTGCTGCTTACAAAATTAGTAAATACAATAATAGAAATATGTAATATAAGGAAGGATTCTATTTTCAACAACAAAAAAGATCAAGTAATTAGAAATAAACAAATTACAGGATTTTTAAACAAACCAGATTTTATTTTATTTTTTTTTAATATTTTATTTGTTTATTCAAGAGAGACACAGAGAGAAAGAGGCAGAGACACAGGCAGAGGGAGAAGCAGGCCCCATGCAGGGAGCCCGATGCAGGACTGGATCCCAGGTCTCCAGGATCACACCCCAGGCCAAAGGTGGCACTAAACCGCTGAGCCACAGGGCTGCCCAACAAACCATATTTTAAAAGACATTTCTGAGACAACTGGAGAAATGTGTATATATATTGGGTATTAAATTACTAAGAGGCAATAAATTGTTAATTTTGATAAATATAAAGAATTTTTGATAAATATAGCAATGAGATTATATATATTTCAAAAGTCCCTATTTAAGCTATACTGTGAAGTAGCTATGTATAAAATCGTTTTAAAATATTCTAGTCCCCCACCCTACAAAAATATGGAGGGAGGAGAGACAAATGATTCAAGATCAGCAAAATATGGCTGTTTAAGAAGACCTGATGGATACATCGAGGTTCATTATATTGTCTTCCCTTTTGTCTATCTGAAATGTGCCAAACAAAGGCAAGTAATGAGAGACCCAAAGGTATACAATAGGCTTATAAAAACACACAAAAACTGCCACCTAACAATTAAAAATGCAAATTAAAGCTACAAATCAGATGGCATTTTCATCAATCAGGTAGAAAAAAAGATCAAAATATTTGGTAACATTAAGTATTGACAGGAAGGGGAGGCAACCGACACTGCTGGGGAAAGTACCCATCAGTACATTGGAGGGCACTTTGGCCTCACCTTTCAAAATTATAAACACACACTCCTCGGTCCAGCAATTCCACTTCTTAGTTATCTACTCTACATATACTATTTGAATATGTATTTTCTACCACCTACTATGTTCATGCACTGGAGACAGAAAAATGGAAGAAACAATGCCCCTGCTCTCTTAGGGCTTCCATTCTTATAGGGGAGGAGACAACTAATAAAGCAAGTCAAGTACACAGACAATTGCAAGGTCAAGAGAGAGAGATAAAAGTGTGATGATAAAAGCAAACAGAACACGGGCGTTGGGAGTGGCAAGAAGTCTATTTTGAATGGGCTGGTCTCAGGGAGGGCCTCTCTGAGGACGTGACAGTTGAGCAGAGACCTGGGTGAAGGAGAAAACAAAAGGAGACGAATGTCCAGGAGAGCATTCCAAGAAATAGGGAAGGAAGACATGGGGCAACACAAATTTGGCTTTCCTGCCATCTGCTTTTCTTTTTATTACCTAAGAGCCCTTCCTTCCTCCAAGGGATATGAGTACCAATTGAATGTCTTTCTCCTGACACACACAAAAAAAACAAAAACAAAGCATATCATTTTAATACCGTACATCTTTCCAGGAAGGTACCAGGCCAGCACTGTTTCCCCAAACACTAATGTGCCTAACAATTTCATTTCTTCAAAGGAAGAATTCCCAAACTTATCTAGGTGTTAGATAAAACCGATTAAACAAACAAAAAAACCCACAAAAGTACATCAAAGCTACTTATGAGTCTTTAGTGCAGATAACCTTTCCACAAAAAGAGAACAAATTAGTTTCACAAAAGACACTGACCAGTGTAAAGATAACTTTACACACACACACACACACACACACACACACACACACACACACACAAATACTGTCAGCTCTTGCCCTTCAGGAAGAATGTTAACAGAGGAGACTACAATTCGTTCCATGACTTTTTAAACAATGAGGTTAAAATATTAAAGTGTCTATCTGGATACATATTTCTATTTTTTTCAATTTCATGATCTTTTAGGCAATGGTATTTTTTAGGGACTATTTGGATAAATATTTGACACTGAAGCAGCCAGTGTCAATTAAGGACATTCCAGCTGACCCCAAAAGAAATGACTCTGCAACACCTGAGAACGTCACATACTAACTTCTTCAAAACCATGAAAGATCCAGATTTCAAAATTGCCTTGAATGATACGTTCTGAGAACAGCCAGATTAATCATGGAGTCAGCATACGGGGAGAAATCTGTCCCTATGAAATACACTACCTCAGTCTGGGAATCGACTCTACCCGGATACATTCATCCCCTACTCAGAGGGAGAAATCAAAACACTCAAAGACTTCCAGATTCTCCATGTAGACAAATTTCAAGCACCACTAGCCATCTGCACACCCACCCACAGGGTTCCCTCCGACAGCTGAGGATGCGGCATACCCTTGGCGACAGCTCACCATCTAACCTTTCCCCCAAAGGCCTCATTAGTTCTGGGCAGAGAATGCCACTTCTTGACAACTAGTTACCGGAGAAACTCAGCAAAGTGAGAACCGGGACCAGGTAAGCTTCCGCAGACGCCAGCCCAGCGAGAGGGGCGGTCGGTTCCGAGTTCCCCGCAGAGCTGAGGCGAAGGATCCCGGCGCTGCCCGGATCTGCAGCCCGCCGCTCCGCGTCCCCGCTTCCCTGCGGGGCGTCCGGGGGCCGCGGCAGGGGCGCCCCGGGGCCCTCCCCCACTCCCCCACTCCCCCACGCCGGGCGGTGACCGCCTGCGGCTCGCAGCCCCTGGGAGGGACGCCGGTCCAGCCCGCGGACGGGGTCCCACTGGTCACCTGGGGCTGGGATGCTGGGGGCGCGGCGCTGGGCCCCACGGAGGGCCAGAGGAGGGCACCGGAAGGTGGAAGGACGGTCGGCGCGCTCCCGCAGGCAGGTACCTGAGGGAAGGATGCCCGCGGGCCACACCTGCGGGCCAGGCGAGGGGGAGCGATGGAGGGAGGCTGGAAGAGGACACCGGAGGGTAGAGGGTCGACGGGGCCGCTCCCATCAGCAAGAACCTCGCGGAGAGGCGGGGGCCCAGGGACTGCGCGCCTGCCAGGTCTGGCCCGCCCCGGCGCCCTACCTCACCTGCCCAGCGCCCGCTTCATGCCCGCGTCCGCGGCGCGGCGCGGCTCCGCTGGCCCCTTGCCCGCCAGGCGCAGCTTCTGTTTCAGGCGGCAGGCGGCGTCCAGCGCCGCGGCGGCCGAGCCGGAGGAGGATGAGCCCGGGGCGGCGCAGCGCTCATGCTCCAAGGCGACGGGCTCGGCCCGCTTCCTCATCCCGCGGCCGACTCGGCCAGCTGCCGACGGTGCCCGCTGGCTTCGCCCGCCCGCCCGCAGTCGCAGTCGCAGTCGCCGCCACTCACGGGAGCCGCAGCCGCCGGGAGCCCGCAGCCCCTAGCATCCCAGCCCCAGGCCGCGGCGGCGGCCGTACGGACCGGCGCCCGGGACAGGGCGGCCGCGCCGGCCAATCAGCGCCCGGCTCCCGTCGGCCCCGCCCCCGCCGTGCTTCCGCGGGGAGCGCGCCCAGCGACGCCGGCGCGCACCTGCGGCCATTTTGGAGAAGGGCGGCCGAAGCCTTGCAGGGCGTCACGGTGCGGGCAGGGCCAGGGGACCAGTGATGCTGGCGGGTATGGGCTGGCGGGCGCAGGGGCGCGGTTGCCTGAGCCAGGGTCCCCGGCGCCGCGAGCGGACGCGCCTGGCTCTGCCCCGGGTCAAGGGCCCGCGCCGCGGGGACAGCTGGCTCTTTCATCTCCCGCTCTGGCTCGTGTTCGCTAGGGCTGGAGACCCAGTGGGAGGGAGCCCCTCGGAAACCTGTTTATGAGGACAGAAAGCAGAAGGTAACAAACCACCATCCTCATGATTTATGACTATTTTTCCCACAAGAGTATACTTTGAAAAATATGCTTTTAGGTACTTTTTGTTGGGCACAAGCATATAAGTAATTTAACTTTTAACTTTGGGGCTGAACATATGAAAACTGAATTAGACAATTTACTTCTTAAAAACCATTTCATTTTAGATTTTTGTGAAGCAATTTAGTAGCAGCTGGTGGCGGTCCGCCTTGCTGCGCACTCAGTGGAGTCAAACTTGGCCTGGGCTTGTAGGTTCCAGCCCTGGATTGGGTGTGGGGATTACTTAAAAATCTTAAAAAAAAAAAAAAAAAAATCTATTTCAAATGTGAAACCCAAGTTAAGAACTAATTCAACTCATCTCACAAAGAGTAGTTTCACACAGTTAATTTTACAGCTTTGGCATTCTTTAATATGGCATTATTTCTTAGAAACGATCTACAACTGATAGATTTGCTTACTTATTATAAAGTGAACTTTCACCATTTCAACAATTAAACTGATAATTTAAAATCAATTAGAAATGCTTTTATAGGGATCCCTGGGTGGCTCAGCGGTTTAGCACCTGCCTTGGGCCCAGGGTGTGATCCTGCGGTCTTGGGATCGAGTCCCACATCAGGCTCCTTGCATGGAGCCTGCTTCTCCCTATGCCTGTGTCTCTGCCTCTCTCTCTCTCTCTCTCTCTCTCTCTCTCTCTGTTTCTCATGAATAAATAAAATCTTTAAAAAAAAGAAATGCTTTTATAAATTCAATAGCTCCTATTAGCTTTGTAATGATACTTGTAAATTGCCAAAGAATTTCATTGACTGTGGTACAGAAATTCCACAACCAGCGTTCATAATTGTGTGGATATCTCCAAATACTCATTTTGAATTTATTAAAGATTTTATTTATTTATTTATGAGAGACACACAGAGAGGGTAGAGGGTCGACGGAGGGGCACTCGATATCTCCAAATACTCATTTTGAATTTATTAAAGATTTTATTTATTTATTTATGAGAGACACACAGAGAGGGTAGAGGGTCGACGGAGGGGCACTCTCATCAGCAAGAAACTCGCGGAGAGGAGGGGGCCCAGGGACTGCGGCAGAGAAACAGGCAGAGGGAGAAGCAGGCTTCCCTCAAGGAGCCCCATGTCCCCAGGCGTCCCCTCTTTTAGAATTTAAATGGTGAATTCTTTAAAGTGTTATACCAGCACATATTGGAGATTAGGAATCCAGAAACTGAATTTAAAAAAAAAAATGACCCTATTACTCACAAAATCTTCTTTAATAGAAAAAAAAAAAAAAAGCAAAGTGAGGGATATTGAACCTGGCTGGCATTAGGCCTAGTCTTCAGCTCTTGGTCCTGGAGGGGCCAAGGGCCCGGCCACTCCAAGGTAGACACTTTGGCTTGATTATTTTGAGCTAAAGGCCATCAAGACCCTATGGACTTCCTCCCTATGGAAGAAGCTTCTTGTCCCTCCCTTAACTACACAGGAGAATCTAAATTGGAGTCTTTCCCAGAATAATGTTTATTACCAGAGACAAATTTTACCTGAGTGACCCATCTATATGGCAAGGCAAGCATTTAATTACCAGACTTCAGCCTGTGACTTGCATTCTTTCCCCTCAAAGTCCCAGACCCCTACCGGATTCTCTTTAGTTCAAGATAATATATAACTTTATTTTGTCCAGCTGTCCTTGGAATTTCCATATCAGTGTGAATTTCCTGTAGGCAGGAAACTAAGTTTGATTTTCTCCTGTTAATCTGTCCTATAGAAATTTGGTTCTTAATACAGAAGAGGACCTAGAAGGGGACAGGAAGTTCTTGCTCTCTGATATTCCACATTCACTGTCCATGTGGTCTGTTTTTAAATACAACCCTACACTGATGACACCCACATTGCATCTCTAGTCCACACTCCTTCCTTGAATTGCAGGTTCCTCTAATGGTTTACTCATTCACTCATTTCACCTAAAGTTATGTTCAAAGCTGAGCTCCCAACTCTTTTCCCCACCCCAACTCCATGTGTAACCTTCCTGCTTCAGGAATGGTAGCCTTGTATTTGCATTTCCTTAGGCCACAACTCTGGGATCATCCTTGAATCTTCTTATGCCTGATTCAGCACTCCTTTCAAAATCTATCCAGGATGCAACCACTTCTCACCACCTCCTCCATCCACATGCTGGGCCAAGTTGCCATCCTCTCTCACTCGAATTATTTTAACAATAATTTTAATAAGTGGTCTCCTGCCTCCACCTTTGCCAACTTTTGCTTACTTTGCTGTCAGAAAGGTCCATTTAAAGATGTAGGTCCAGTCCTGTCACTTGTTTTGCTCAAAAATACCTATATATAGTTCCCTAACTCACTCAAGTTTTCTTTAAAACAGAAAGCTTATGATAGGGCCTACAGGGTCCTACCTGGCATGGCCTCAAGCCCTCATTCTGATTTCAGCCACTAGAGTCTCCCTCCCTTACTTTGCTTTTGTTTTGTTTTTTTTTTTAAGATTTTATTTATTTATTAGTGAGAGATAGAAGCAGAGACATAGGCAGAGGGAAAAGCAAGCTCCTTGAGGGGAGCCTGAGCCACCCGGGAGTCCCTCCCTCCCTTACTTTGCTCGAGTGTCACTGCCTCCTTGCTGATGCAGGGGCCCCAAGGAGAGGTATGGTTGGCATTTGTATGAGTCACCCAGTCCCCCTCCTTGGGACCTTTGCACTTGCATTCCTGCTGCACGTGTAATTCTCTGCCTATCCTATGGCCCCATCTGCACATGGTTTATTCCCTCCCCACTACAGGTCTGTGCCTTCTCTGAACACTAACTCCAAACCCTCAGATCCTCTCATCATCACTGACCACAGAATTATTTACCTGCCCTGGCTTATTCTTCTTAGCACTAAACTAATAAATTTATCATCAATATATCTGTATCCCACACTGGAACATAGACTCTGAGAACAAGAACTTTGTTCACTACTTTATATTCAGTGTCTAGAACAATGCACAGTATATAGTAGGCACTTCATAAATATTTGCTGAAGGAGTAAAGAGTCATTACAACCCCTCAGAAATCCATACCGTTGGCCCCATTGTATAGGTAAGGACCTGAAATTAAAAAGGTTTATGACACAGGAAGGTTGTGGATACTGGCGATTTTTGGCATGCAATCCTGTAGCACAGTCCATTATAGATCTGTGTATTTAATAACACTTACTGTAGAGCTGAAAAGGAAATGTCACTTAATTTAAAGATTCAAAGGCTTTGTAGGCCATTCCCATGCTCATTCTCCAGATTACACATCTATTGTATATATATTTGCAAAAGAGAAGGTTTCTAGAGTTAGCTGGAATGAATCCAGCAATATTACCTTTTTAAAAATATTGCTTTGTAAAAGGTAGCCAAGTAAAACAAATCGTTTGTATAGCAGTCATTTCTTCGATAGAATCAAATCTATGCGGTTACGAAAATTTCCGTACTCATGTAGGTAAGATTATGGCTCTGTGAATTTGTGTTCATCTAGGGTATTTTACCCTTCTGTAGACTTTGTGATTAGTTATTTTAAAAGCGTTTTAAAGCCAGCCCAGGTGGCTCAGCGGTTTAGTACCACCTTCGGCCCAGGGCCTGATCCTGGAGACCCAGGATCGAGTCCCATGTCAGGCTCCCTGCATGGAGCCTGCTTCTCCCTCTGCCCCCCCCCCCGCCCCTCTCTCTCTCTCTCTCTCTCTCTCTGTGTCTCTCATGAATAAATAAATAAAAATCTTTAAAAAAATAAATAAAATTACTCCTCTAACATCAAAGGTGGTACTGGGAGTTGAAATCTTTACTGGGCAGCCCCGGTGGCGCAGCGGTTTAGCGCCCCCTGCGGCCCAGGGCGTGATCCTGGAGACCCTGGATGGAGTCCTGCATCGGGCTCTCTGCACGGAGCCTGCTTCTCCCTCTGCCTGTGTCTCTGCCTCTCTCTCTTTGTGTCACTATGAATGAATGAATGAATGAATGAATGAATGAATGAATGAATGAATGAATGAATGAATCTTTAAAAAAATAAATAAAGCTCTTCTTTAAAAAAAAAAAAAAGTCGGTGACTTCAGAAGCTGCGTGACCTTGGAAGTTCTGTTGTTGGCTCCCTGGCTGAGTCAGTCCCGGGTGCGAGCCCCAGGGTCGGCTCAGAGTCTACTCGAAGAAAAAGAAGTTACATATCTTGCTTTCTAATCAGCACCAAGAGTCTTAGAAGCACCACCTGACGATTAATCATGGGAATCAAATGAATGTCACAGCCCCTACCACACAGGAGATACCCAAGAAAAGTTGGTTTCCCTTTTCTACTTAACAAAAACCCACCTGCAAAACTAAAACGAAATGCCATGCCCTAAGATTAAAGCACACCCAGTTTCGGAGCATTCCTTCTCAACGTCAGAGTGAACCCCCTTGGTCATAAATAAATAAAAATGGATGGATAAATGGAGAAAAGAAGCTGCGACATATGCATTTGTCGCGAGCTGCGCCTCAAAAGAGAGTCTGCTCAGACTAGGTGGACCGCAGGCTTGCTGACTCGCAGCCCGGGGAGCCGGCCTGGGGAAGTGCGCCGCACCCACCCCCAGCCCTCGCCGCTCCTAGAGTGCGGCTGCGCGGCGGCGGCAACTGTCCCTTGGCCGCCGCCGTAGGCCGCGAGGCCCAGAGCGCGTTTCTATTGGTTGCGCATGTTTGGCGCCAAGGAGCCGGGCGGAGCCGGGCGGAGGCGAGTGTCGGCAGCTGTGGGGCCGGGCACCGCGGGGCCTCTGCGCGGCGTGCGCGAACCCGGCGACTGTCGGCGTGAGGGCCGGCGGTTGACGTAGGCCTCGGGGCCGGAGCGCGTGGGATATGTTCTGCGAAAAGGCCGTGGAACTGGTCCGCGAGCTGCATCGCGCGCCAGAAGGGCAGCTGCCGGCCTTCAATGTGAGCGAGGCCGCGGTAAAGCGGGCGGGTCTTGCTGAAGGGGCGGGGGCCGGGGGCCGGGGCAGGCGGGGGCCGGGGCCGGGGCAGGCGGGGGCCGGGGCAGGCGGGGGCCGGGGCAGGCGGGGGCCGGGGCAGGCGGGGGCCGGGGCCGGGGCAGGCCGGGTAGGCCACCAGGCCACCCTGGGGTTCTGCCCCGGCCCTGCAGACCCGGACGTGGGACCGGATCCTGAGATCTTGGAGGCTCGGTTTTCTCGCGGGGCCTGCTCTGAAGTCGGAAACAGAAATTTCGGAACACGGGAAAACAAAATCTAGCAGGAAAAGGAGAGCACCCCTGTTTTTGCCAGCGAGTTGGCGAATTCTCTGGGTCTGCTCCCCCCCGTGTTTTCCACGTAGAGCAGCACTGCAGGGCGTTATGTCTGACGGAGCGTTTCTCGGTGCCGGCTAACAACCCAGATTTGTTGAGCACTCGGGCGGGAGCGAGGCCCCTGCGCCAGGCGGGGACCCTGACTCGGTGGTGGGGCCTTGGGCGGTTCCGCAAGCTTTCGGTGCCGGCTTTGTCTTGTGCAAAAAATGGGGAAGAGTGAGGGCTCTTAAGGGCGGCGTAGCTCAGGGTCTCCGGCCTGTGCCCAACAGTAGCGGCGAAGTCCGTGTTTTATACTTATTTCTAGCACGGCTGCTGCTGCGACTTGTTACTAACAAGATGTTTCTGTTACTTACCCCGACAGGGTACTAAGCACCTGGCCTCTGTTATTGTTATTCTCCTAAGAACCCTTTGAGATTTAAACCATTTCTGCCAGCCCTGTACACAAAGGCTTGGGGAGATTGAGTATCCTGCCCGTGGCCAGCAAGAAGTGGAACTAAGATTTGAACCCTTGCAGTCCGGCTCCAGATCTGGACTCGAAATTTCTCCACTTGTCTACCTTCCACAGCATAGGGCAGCGGCTGGGTGGATGCCAGGGCATGTGCTCCCCTGCCAGGGACAGGGGCACAAAGAGTATTGGAATGCACTGTGAGGACACCAGAGAGGTGTACGTAGGAGCATAAGGAGGAATACTGGGATGAACCCGGCGTCGAGGAGGGGGCATTTGGCCCACGCCTGGAAGGATGAGATCCCCACCCTGAGAAGGAAGATAGGCATTGCATCCCAAGGATACAGCCGCACAGAGACCCATGGTCACGTAGGAAGGAGTGGCTGAGGTGTGCAGAGGCTACAAAGGTGTGTTCTAGGGAGGAGCGCTGGGTATTCACGTATGAGGCATTTGGAAGCCAGTAAAGGATTTTAGACAGGGGAGTGTTAGGGAAGGTTTTATGTTTTGAGGATAATGATGGCAGCACGATGCGGAACAGATTGGAAACAAGGAAGAATGGTGGCAGGGAGATGGTTATGGGTGGTTCTGATAGCTCTCAGACCTGCTGTAAGAGCTGGGTGTGATCCAAACTATGTCTGGTCACTGGGCCCACAAATCAGTGTCTGGGTTTCTGAGACAAGGCAAGTAGGACTTACACCTGTTAGAACAGGAGTGGAGATGGGGTGGGTAATGAATGAAAGGGAGAAATCAGAGGGTCTTGGGATTTTCTCTGAGTTACAACATCAGAGTTCAGGAGAAGTGTTTAGGGAAAGGTGAGGTTTTTTTTGTTTTTTTTTTGTTTTGTTTTGTTTTGTTTTGTTTGTTTTTTTAAGATTTTATTTATTAGAGAGAGAGAGACAGGCAGGCAGGCAGGGAGCCCGACGTGGGACTCCATCCCGGGTTTCCAGGATCATGCCCTGGGTTAAAGGCGGCGCTAAACTGCTAAGTCACTGGGGCTGCCCTGAGTTTTGTTTTGAACGTTAAAAAGCGCCTGGTCAAACAGGTCATTTTGCAGATGAGACTGAGCCAAGAGAAATTAAAGATCAAGTTAAGGGACTGTCTGAACATACAGCATATTGGAGCAGAGCCTCACCTCGGACACAGGTTTCCTAGATTACTGTTCTTTTAGAACAGTTACCTCATTTAAAAAGCTAGGAGACAATAGTGGGAAGTTCAGAGATTCTGGAATGCCAAGGTGTGTAGGCTGTAAAATATGACTCCATCCTGCAGTCAGACAACTGGGCACTTTGAAGGTCATCTAACATAAGAGGAAATAAGCCCAAAGAGGCACAGGCTTGTGAGGCAGAAACTGGCCACACCAGCCTTGCAACTGGCTCTTCAGACCCTTAGTCTATCCAGCTCTCTGTTTCACACAAATTTTAAGTGTTGGTTTACCACTTTTGGGAGAGCTGGGGCGGGACTTAGAAGTTATAAAATCACTCCTTTTTCTAGGTCTTAGTTTGGCAAAGCACCTTTTGCACATGCACCTTCTACTGACAGACCCACCTGCCAGCCAGGTGACTGACTCAGTAGCCTGGAAGACTCAGCCTGGGGAGGCTGGCCGCTCTGACACAGCCAAGCAGGGACAGGCCAATCCATCTGATTGATCTGAGGGCTGATAGGCCCATTACCCACATGACTCTTCAAGAATCATTCCTCCCGGGATCCCTGGGTGGCGCAGCGGTTTGGCGCCTGCCTTTGGCCCGGGGCGTGATCCTGGAGACCCGGGATCGAGTCCCACGTCGGGCTCCCGGTGCATGGAGCCTGCTTCTCCCTCTGCCTGTGTCTCTGCCTCTCTGTCTCTCTCTGTGTGACTATCATGAATAAATAAATAAAATCTTTAAAAAAAAAAAAAAAAAAAAGAATCATTCCTCCCAGGTAGATGATAGTCACTGGATTTAGAGCAGGAACTCTGCCTTGTTCATTCCAGGATCTCTCAAGGTTAGTTGCTGTGTTCAGCAAATTGAAATGATTGTCCACTTTCTATATGCAGAACTAGTAATAGTTTAAGTGAGTTTTTAGGAAAATTATCATAGGCTCCCAGCCTGACATGGGAACACAAAACAGTGCAATTTTCACTACAGATTTAAAAAAAAATTAAATCTGAAATCATTTTTATAAAATTGTCTATTTTTATAGAACTATTTTACACATCTTTTGTATACCTGTAGATCTATTAATCATGCAGGAGTTTCAGCTATTCCTTTTTTTTCTATAAATTAATTTTTTATTGGTGTTCAATTTACCAAGATACAGAATAACACCCAGTGCTCATCCCGTCAAGTGTACCCCTCAGTGCCCGTCACCCATTCACCCCCACCCCCCACCCTCCTCCCCCTCCACCACCCCTAGTTCGTTTCCCAGAGTTAGGAGTCTTTATGTTCTGTCTCCCTTTCTGATATTTCCCACACATTTCTTCTCCCTTCCCTTATATTCCCTTTCACTATTATTTATATTCCCCAAATGAATGAGAACATACACAGTTTGTCCTTCTCCGATTGACTTACTTCACTCAGCTCAGCTATTCCTTAAAATATTATTTGCTGATAAAAGAAATATTTAACAATTCTTTTTTTTTTTTAAGATTTTATTTATTTATTCACGAGAGACACACAGAGAGAGGCAGAGACATAGGCAGAGGTAGCACCAGGCTCCTTGAGGGGACCCCAGTGTAGGACTGGATCCTGAGACTCCAGGACTATGCCCTCAGCTGAAGGCAGACACTTAACCACTGAGCCACCAGGCATCTGTGTGTCTGTCTCTCTGTCTCTCTCTTTTTTTAAAAAAAGATTTTATTTATCTATTTGACAGAGAGCACAAACAGGGGAAGCAGCAGGCAGAGGAAGAAGGAGGAACAGGCTTCCCACAAAACAGGGAGCCCCATGCAGGGCTTGATCTCAGGACCCTGGGATCATAACCTGAGCTCAAGGCAGATGCTTAATCGACTGAGTGACCCAGGCACCCCTATTTAACTGAATTCTAATAAATCAGACTTTTCCATGCTCTCTTTTTAACTACTTAATGAAAGGGAAGACAGAGGTCATGCTTAGGTTTTTTATTGGGAATTATGTATTTTCTTAGGTTTGAACAGGGTTAAGTTCTTTATTTTGTAGTTATATTAATAATGCCAAAATGTTTTTGCTAATACATATATGTTGGCCCTAAAAATAGTTGGGTCACTTATCTTTGGATTGCTGACAGACCTACTGTGTAACATTTTTGAACTCCAAAATTTTAATGTTTGTATCCTTCCAAAGGAAAATCTTTAAAAAATTTGTCCCAAGATAGGTAGTAGAGAAATTCCTTTGGTCCTTCCGTTGTTGCAAACCAAAAGTGTTTGTTTTTTGTAGTAATCTTTTGAGATCTGTTTTCATTAAAGTTATTTACATACTTTTGTCATGCCTTATTGCTTCTATATAGGACTGTTGTGTGGGTTTTTTTGTGGTTAATTTTATTGAGATATTAATTTATAACAAAATAAAATTTAGCAGAATATTTTAATTTTACAACTGTACGTTCTTGTACACTGTAAGATATTAATTTATAACAACAAAATAAAATTTAGCAGAATATTTTAATTTTACAACTGTGTACGTTCTTGTACACTGTAAGCAGCACCACAGTCAAGATTTCTGTCACCCCAAGAATTCCCTTCTCCCTTTCTGTGGCTCCCTACCACCTCCAGCTTAGGCAACCACAGATGTACTTTCTGTGACTACAGATTATATTTGTCTTTTTGAGGGGGAGGGTCTAGATTCAGTGTGCCAGGAGATGCATACTTTTTCTATAAAGGGCCAGCAGGGATCATACAGTATGTATTCCTTTGTATCTGACTTCTTTTGCTTAGTACGATGTATTTGAGAATATCCTTAATCAGTATGCTGATGGTGTTGTATTGTCGGTACTTCATTCCCTTTTATAATGCATTTTTTTTTAAGATTTTATTCATTTATTCATGAGAGACACAGAGAAAGAGGCAGAGACACAGGCAGAGGGAGAAGCAGTCTCCATGCAGGGAGCCCGACATGGGACTCGATCCCGGTACTCCAGGATCACACCCTGGGCTGAAGGCGGCGCTAAACCACTGAGCCACCCAAGGATCCCTATAATACTTTTTTGGTCTATTTTTTTATTGTAGTAAAATATATATAACATGAAATCTTCCATTTTAACCATTTTTTTTTATTTTTAAAAGATTTTTTTTATTTCTTTATCACGAGAGACAGAGAGAGAGAGGCAGAGACACAGGCAGAGGAAGAAGCAAGCTCCATGCAGGGAGCCCGATATGGGACTCAATCCTGAGAAGCAGGCTCTATGCAGGGAGCCTGATATGGGACTCAATCCTGGGACTCCAGGATCACGCCCTGAGCCAAAGGCAGATGCTCAATTGCTGAGCCACGCAAGCACCCGTTTTAACCATTTTTAAGTGTACACTTCAGCGCTGTCAATTACATTCATATCCTTGTGCAACCATCACTCCTCTTCGAAAACTTTTTCATCAACCCAGACAGAAACTCTGTAACTATTAAGCAATAGCTCCCTACTTCCCCCTTGCCCCAGCCCCCAGTAACCTCTAATCTACTTTCCATCTCCATGAATTTACCTATTTTAGATATTTCAGGTAAGTGGAATCACACAATATTTATCCTTTTGTATATGATTAACTTCACTTAGAATACTGTTTAAAGTTCATCCATGTTGTTGCACACTGTACTACATTCCTTTTTCTCTACAGATAATAGCCCTTTGAATGGAGATACCATATTTGGTTTATTGGTTCATCAGTTGAGGGATATATGGGTGTTTTCACTTTGGGGCTACCATAAATAATGCTGCTCTGAACATTTATGTACATAGTTTTGTTTTTGTTTTTTTTTTTAAGATTTATTTATTTATGATAGAGAGAGAGAGAGGCAGAGACACAGGAGGAGGGAGAACCAGGCTCCATGCTGGGAGCCTGACGTGGGACTCGATACCCGGGACTCCAGGATCGCGCCCTGGGCCAAAGGCAGGCGCCAAACCACTGAGCCACCCAGGGATCCCCCTATGTACATAGTTTTTGAATGAATACATATTTTCAAGTCTCGAGTGTATAAGAGTGGAATTGCTGGGTAATATGGTAATTCTATGTTTAACTTTTTGAGGAATCATCATACTGCTTTTCATAGGTCTGTACCATTTAATATTCCTACCTCTAATGTATGAGAGTTCTAATTTCTCCTCATCCTTACCGACACTTGCTATAGCCACCCCTGTAAGGCATAAATGGATTATTGCTTTTTAATAAGAAATGTAGAGTAGATCAAACGTTGCTATAGACTTGGAGGAATTAATGGATATGTATCGATATCATTTTATATGTTCTAGGAGGATGGACTCAGGCAAGTTCTGGAGGAGATGAAAGCTTTATATGAACAAAACCAGTCTGATGTGTAAGTTTTGATGAGATTGATATTTTTTAAAAACTTAAGAAATATACTGAAATCAGGTAATGTCACATCAGTTTTTAGATACGATTTTTAAAAATTTCTATTTATTTTTTTATTTTTATTTTTTTATTTATGATAGTCACACAGAGAGAGAGAGAGAGAGAGAGAGAGGCAGAGACATAGGCAGAGGGAGAAGCAGGCTCCATGCACTGGGAGCCCGATGTGGGATTCGATCCGGAGTCTCCAGGATCGCGCCCTGGGCCAAAGGTAGGCGCCAAACCACTGCGCCACCCAGGGATCCCTACTTCTTTATTTTTTAAAGATTTTATTCATTTGAGAGAGAGAGTGAACATGAATGAGCAGAGAGAGGGAGAAGCAAACTCCCCACTGAGCAGGGAGCCCAATGCGAGGCCTGAGCCAAAGGTAGATGCTTAATCGACTGAGCCACTCAGGTGCCCTGTGATTTTTTTTTTTTTTTTAATTCTCTGTGAGCCTGATCATACTGTAGCTATACAGGACTGAGGGGATTTGTGTTGACCACCCTAAATGTATACAGATTCAAATCATGCGTGGTACATAGTAGATGCTCAATAAATATTTGTTATTTGAATGATATGACTTGCAAGGAATTAGAGTGAAGAGATGAGATAGGAGCAAATAAAGATCCTAACAATGAAACAAAATAGTTTCTACTGCTCACTTTCACTAAGAGCTGCCTTAGTGCATTAAAGGGAGAACATTCAATTTATAGACTTGGTAGGAGCAGCAGTGATTTCCAAGCTTGTGCACAGTTCACCAAGAACCAATGCTAATGGAAGGCCACAGCCTGGTGAATGAGAGAGCCCTAGGTTTAGAGAACATTTGGAGCTGAGCATGGTGGTGGCCCAGTGGAGACAGTGAGCTGTGACAGAGTTGATAGGTTCTTGTGATTTGGTGAAGAGTAAGACAAAAAGAACCACCAGCTCCAGGATCAAAGGTGAGATATTCAGATCTCAGGCTAGAGAGAAGTCTGTCTGTGACGTGAAGTTCCGTCTTTGGCCTTGTTAGGTACAGTGTTTTTATCAGTTACTTGGGCATAGAAATCAGTAACGTGCTGGTAAGATCTAGTGGAACACATGAACAATGGGAGCATTTTCCAACTGCGATGTTTAAGGAGAGATACAGAAAAATTTTCACAGATGGATGAGAACCAGAATTGCAGCCAGTTTACAATAAGTATAAGGCAGAAGTAAAGTCCTAATCTCAAGTTCCCAAGCAATTTGTTTATTATTTCATGCAATTACAGTACTCAATGACTGTGCTGATAAGTGGCTCTGGTATTTCAGCTGTAAACAACATAGTCAAGATGTCTGCCCCCATGGCCTTCACAGTCCAGTGCAGAAGACAGATGTAAATACAGATACACCAAATTGGGCTACATGCCGTGAAGGAAAACAACAGAGTTCCAGGGGAGAGAATAATGAATCAAAGATAGGCTTAGATAGAGGAATCCAGGAGTTCTCTCCAAGGAAGAGACATTACAGCTGAGGTCTAAAGGAGAAGCTGGTTTCAATAAGGCAGTGATTGTAGGCAGAAAGCATCCTAGGTGGAAGGGGCAGCATATGCAAAGGCCCTGAGCTGTGAAGGAGGGTGGATGATCAGGACAATGATAGATAAAGAAGGCCAGTGTGGCTGAAGCTTAGCAAGCAGGCTAAGGGTGACATCAGGTGAGATTTTTAAGCGTGTGGCATGTTTATGTTTTCAAAGGTCACCCTGGGGATCCCTGGGTGGCGCAGCAGTTTAGCGCCTGCCTTTGGCCCAGGGCGCGATCCTGGAGACCCGGGATCGAATCCCACGTCGGGCTCCCGGTGCATGGAGCCTGCTTCTCCCTCTGCCTGTGTCTCTGCCTCTCTCTCTCTCTCTCTCTCTGTGACTATCATAAATAAATTAAAAAAATTAAAAAAAAAAAAAACAAAGGTCACCGTGTATTAAGCTGAGTGAAATAAGCCAATCAGAGAATGACAATTATGGTTGCACTCATATGTAGAATATAAGAAGTAGTGGAAGGAACCATAAGGAAAGGGGGGAAGCTGAGTAGGGAAAACTGAGAAGACAACAAACCATGAGAGGCTCCTGACTCTAGGAAACAAACAGGATTGCTGAAGGGGGAGGTTAGTGAGGTGATGGGGTAATGGGCATTGAGGAGGGCACGTGATGTGATGAGCATTAGGCGGTATACTATATGTTGGTAAGTTGAATTTAAATAGATAAAAATAGGGGATCCCTGGGTGGCTCAGCAGTTTCGCCCCTGCCTTTGGCCCAGGGCGCAATCCTGGAGTCCCGGGATCAGGTCCCGCGTCGAGCTCCTGGCATGGAGCCTGCTTCTCTCTCTGCCTGTGTCTCTGCCTCTCTTTCTCTCTCTCTCTCTCTATGTCTATCATAAATAAATAAAAATAAATCTTAAAAAAATAAAAATAAAAAATAAATAGATAAATAAAAAAGATAACCAATCCTGTCTGCTATATGGACAGTAGACAAGGTGGGGGGACCAAGAGGAGAGGGAAGCATGCTGGTCAGCCAGGTGATAACCAGGTGATAGCATCCTGGTCTCACAGGTGATAGCAGAGGTGACCTTGACTTAGTTGAAAGTGAACAGATTAAAGACAAATTTATTTAGGAGGTAGCTTAATAGGCCTTAGTCCAGTAAGGGAATGATTTTCCTGTATTTGCTATATTTGTACCATTTGCAAATTTGTGATCCAAAATTCCATGCCCCATCCTCCTAATTCCTTGGTGGGTGATGGAAGGCACTCATTATTACCAGTTTCTGTTAAAATTTGTCAGAAAAGATCTATTCCTTTTTAATTACTGATGTAAAAAAACGGTTTTTTAGGAAGTCCTTATGTACTTAACAAAATACTCTAATGTCATCTTTGTACTTTTTATTTTTTTTTTTTATTTTTTTAAAAGATATTTATTTATTCATGAGAGACACACAGAGAGAGAGGCAGAGACACAGGCAGAGGGAGAAACAGGCTCCATGCAGGAAGCCCGACATGGGACTCCATCCGGGGTCTCCGGGATCACCCTGGACTGAAGGTGGTGCTAAACCGCTGAGCCACCCGGCCTGCCCTGTACTGTTTCTTTATAATCTAGAACACATGGTAAACAATGTGGAGAACAAATCTGACTTTCAGAGAGTGACAAGTATACACAACAGATCTAGAAGACTTGATAGGACAGGGACATGGATTTTGCCTCTATTTTCAAGGCCTAGAGCAGGCACTGCAGGAAGGAATCCTTTTCATATTCATCCAATTCCTTTTAAAACTCCAAAGTAGAGTTTTCCTTATTCTGTACATCTGTCTTTGTTTTTTTTTTCCATCATTTTTGTTTTGGTAAAATATAAATAACATAAAATTTGTCATCTCAGTCATTTTAAGTGTACAGTTCAGTAGTATTAAATATGTGCATAATGTTACACAGCTGTCATCACCATCCGTTTTCATAATCCTTTATCGTGTAATTCTGAAACTCTGCCCATTAATTATACATTTGGTTTTTAAATGTGATACTTGTCTAATACCTAAGAGGATGTGCATTTTATAGAGTAAAACCAAAATTTTTCCCTCTCTATGTGAAGAACACTGCAGTATAGGACATGTACATAGTTGAAGATCAATAAATATTTGTGGGATAAATGAAGAATCATGTTGACTCCATTGTAACTCACTTTATTGTAAGGATTTGGAAAAACCACAAGAGTAGTACCATTTCAAATAAAAACATGACATAAGACCATAAACTTGTGAGCCATGATGTTAGGTTTGTTTCTTATCCCATCATGATAAAGGAATTCCAAAAAGTAAGTAAGCATAATGCTTATCTTTAGAAAATAATGGAGATTAATCAGTGTGCAAAAATTCAAAATACCAAATGCTTAAACAAAACATTGACAGCATGATCTTAGGTAGATTAGTTCACTTTTGGCTTTTGGCTTTTTTATCTTTTAATATTACTAGTAAAAGCTCTGATGTGGAGGCAGGTACTATTTGGTTAGATTAACTGGTAATTATAAATAGATACAAACATGCAAATCAGTTGTTAGTTGGTTTTGAAAATTTTCCTTATGCTGAAATATACATATTTGTTCTTTTCTTCTTATATATTCTTACCAGGAATGAAGTAAAGTCAGGTGGACGAAGTGACTTGATACCAACCATCAAATTTCGACACTGCTCTTTGTTGAGGAATCGACGCTGTGCTGTAGCGTATTTGTGAGCTTCTCAGTTTTTGCTTGGTGTGGCAGGAAACAGTGGAGGGCTTTCCATGTCATTTCCTAATTAACTACTTGAAATGGATGACAGAAATTCTTAGATTTATTTTTCTTACAAAAGTATTCTAAATACTTTTTTTCCATTAAATTTTTTTTCATGAAAAATCACCGTATTCATAAAAATTCAGAAAATAATATTATGAGCCCCTATGGAGCCATCATATAGGTTTAACAATTTTTAACATTTTGCTGTATTTGCTTCATCTTGTTTTATTCATCTGTGTTAAACTATTCGAAAACATGATAGGGTTTTTCCACTGAATATTTTAGTATGCATCTCTAAGAAATAAGGACATTTGGGCCTTTTATCCTGTGACCATAGCACCATTCTCAACCTAGAGAAACCAAGAACCCTTCCCCACACCCATCTAGTCCATATTTAAGTTTCCCCATTGTCCCCAAGGTGTCTCCTAGGGTGATGCAGTCTCATACCTTCTTTATATCCCAGGTATGACCGATTGCTTCGGATCAGAGCACTCAGATGGGAGTATGGCAGTGTCCTGCCCAACACTCTACGGTTTCACATGTCTGCGGAAGAAGTAAGCTCGTGCTGTTGTTCCCATTTCTGAATGTGAAAAAATGCATCAGGCTTTATTCTGTAATGGGATTTATAGTATTACTCTTTGTCTTTAACATCTGGTTTTTTTTAGCACTTTTTGGTATGTATTTGGTATATACTGTGATGAGAATGGAGTAATTCTAAATGCTACACAGATACCTCTCTCATTAACAAAAAAGTCCCATTATGTTACTTATTAGTGATCCATCAGTAGGAATAAAAAACTGGCATTATTATTTAGGGATTTCCATAAAGAGAGAGAGAGTGTTGTGTGTATGGGCGCACATGTGCATTTTTCTAGTTAGCGTGAATATTTGTAACAAAACTCTTCTTTTTTGAAACAGCTTTAGAAGAATAGGGACTAATTCTTCTTTAAATGTTTGGTTGAGGAGCAGCCTGGGTGGCTCAGTGGCTCAGTGGTTTAGTGCTGCCTTCAACCCAGGGCATGATCCTGAGGTCCCGGGATCGAGTCCTGGGTGGAACCTCCTTCTCCCTCTGCCTGTGTCTCTGTCTCTCTGTCTCTCTCTGTGTCTCTCATTAATAAGTAAATAAAATCTTTTTTTAAAAATGGAAAAAAATAAAAATCAAAAATAAATAAATAAATGTTTGGTAGAATTCCCCTGGGAAGCCACTTAGTCCTGGACTCTTGTTTGTTGGGAGATTTTTGATGTCTGTTTCAATCTCCTTGCTGGTTATGGGTCTGTTCAGGTTTTCTATTTCTTCCTGTTCTAGTTTTGGTAGATTCAGCTGTGTTTTTTTTTTTAAATTTTTTTTTTAAAGATTTTCTTTATTTATCCATGAGAGACACATAGAGAGGCAGAGACACAGGCAGAGGGAGAAGCAGGCTCCATGCAGGGAGCCTGATGTGGGACTCGATCCCAGGACTCCAGGATCATGCCCTGACCCAAAGGCGGGAACTCAACCGCTGAGCCACCCAGGAATCCCTGGTACATTCAGTTTTATACATCTCTAGGAATGCATCCATTTCTTCCAGATTGCCTTATTTGTTGGTCAATAGTTGCTCATAATGTGTTCATATAATTGTATTACTTTGGTGTTGGTTGTGATCTCTCTTTTTTCATTCATTATTATATTAATTTAGGTCCTTTCTTTTTGATAAGTCTGGTCAGGGGTTTATCAATCTTATTAATTCTTTCAAAGAACCAGCTTCTAATTTCATTGATCTGTTCTACTCTTCTTTTGGTTTCTATTTCATTGATTTCTGTGCTAATCTTTGTTATTTCTCTTTTCCTGCTGGGTTTAGGCTTTATTTGCTGTTCTTTCTCCAGCTGCTTTAGGTGCCACATTGCGTTGTGTATTTTTCTCATTTCTTAAGTAAGGCCTATATTGCTGTATACTTGCCTCCTAGGACCACCTTTGCTGTATCCCAAAGGATCTGTCTGAACAGTTGTGTTTTCATTTTCATTGGTTTACATAAATTTTTTAAATTCCTCCTTAAATTTCCAGGTTGACCCATTCGCTGTTCAGTAGCGTGTTGTTTAACCTCAATGTATTAGAGTTCTTTCCAAATTTCCTCTTGTGTTTGAGTTCAAGTTTCAAAGCATTTTAGTCTGAAAATATGCAGGAAATGGTCCCAGTCTTGGTACTGGTTGAGACCTGATTTGTGACCCAGTGTATGATCTATTCTGGAGAATGTTCCATATCACTCAAGAAGAATGCATATTCTGTTGCTTTATAGAAATGGAAGGAAAACTTCCAAAGTCTATGAGGCCAGCTCTACCTTGATCTCAAAACCAAACAAAGACCCCACCAAAAAGCAGAATTACAGACCAATACCCCTGAAGAGCATGGATGCAAAAATTCTCCTCAAGATACTAGTCAATAGGATCCAATAGTACATTAAAGGATTATTCACCACAACCACGTGGGATTTGTTTCTGGTCTGCAAGGTGGTTCAACATCCACGTAATCAATGTGATATACTCATTAATAAAAGAAAGGACAAGAATTATATGAGCCTCTCAATAGATGTAGAAAAAGCATTTGACAAAGTATAGCATCCTTTCTTGACTAAAAACTTTTCACAGTGTAGCAATAGAGGGAACATGCCTCAATATCATAAAAGCCATATACAAAAAGCCCACAATGAGTATCATTCTCAATGGGGAAAAACTGAGCTTTTCCCCCAAGATCAGGAACACAAGGATGTCCACTCTTACCACTGTTGTTGAATATAGTACTAGAAGTCCTAGCCTCAGCAATCAGGCAACAAAAAGAAAAAGCATTCAAATTGGCAAAGAAGTCAAACTCTCACTCTTGGCAGGTGACATGATACTCTATGTGGAAAATCCAAGACTCTACCCTAAAATTGCTAGAACTCATACAGGAATTCAACAAAATGGCAGGACATAGAATCAGTGCCCCAGGGACGCCTGGGTGGCTCAGCGGTTTGGCGCCTGCCTTCGGCCCAGTGCGTGATCCTGGAGTCCCGGGATCGAGTCCCACGTCGGGCTCCCTGCATGGAGCCTGCTTCTCCCTCTGCCTGTGTCTCTGCCTCTCTCTCTCTCTCTGTGTGTCTCTCATGAATAAATAAATAAAATCTTAAAAAAAAAAAAAAAAGAAAAGAATCAGTGCCCCAAAAATGAGTTGCATTTTTATACACTAACCATGAGACAGAAGAAAAAGAAATTAAGGAGTCAATCCCATTTACAATTGTACCAAAAACCGTAAGATACTAACCAAAGGATCTGTACTCAGAAAACTATAGAACACTCATGAAAGAAATTGAAGAGGACATAAAGAAATGGAAAAACATTCCATGTTCATGGATTGGAAGAATAAATATTATTAAAATGTCTATGCTTCCCAGAAAAATTATACATTCAATGCAATCCCTATCAAAATACCATCAACAAGGGCTAGTATCTAAGATCCCTAAAGAACTTATCAAACTCAATACCCAAATAACAAATAATCCAGTCAAGAAATGGGCATAAGACATGAACAGACATTTCTCCAAAGAAGACATACAGATGGCCAAGAGACACATGAAAAAATGTTACACATCACTCGGCATCAGGGAAATACAAATCAAAACCACAGTGAGAAAAAAAAAATAAAAATAAATAAATAAATAAATAAAAATAAAAAAAACCACAGTGAGATACCACCAGTGGGAATATATATGCACACATACATATATATACATATATATATGTATACAATGGAATACTACTCAGACATAAAAAAATGACATCTCATTTGCAACATTGTGGATGGAAGTAGAGGGTATTATGCTAAGCAAAGTAAGTCAGTCAGAGAAACAATTATTCTATGATCTCACTCATGTGAAATTTAAGAAACAAAACTGGGACACCTGGGTGGCTCAGTGGTTTTAGCACCTGCCTTCGGCCCAGGCTATGACCCTGGAGTTCCCGGATCGAGTCCCACGTCAGGCTCCCTGCATGGAGCTTGCTTCTCCCTCTGCCTGTGTCTCTGCCTCTCTCTGTGTGTCTCTCATGAATAAATAAATAAAATGTTAAAAAAAGAAAACAGGATCGTACGGGTAGGGAGGGAAAAATAAAGCAAGCTAAGATCAGAGAGGAAGACAAACCATAAGAGACTCTTAACAAGCAAACTGATAGTTGGTGGAGGGGAGCGGGATGGGAAAATGGACTAATTGGGTGATGGACATTAAGGAGGGCATGTGATGTAATAAGCACTGGGTATTATAGAAGACTGATGAATCACTACTTCTGAAACTTATAATACAGTATGTTAATTGAATTTAAATGAAAAAAATTATATCATTAAAAAAAAAAACCTCTTCATTTGTCTAGTCACTAAGGCTCAAAGCTAGCCCAATATTTAAGGACATAGGCCTAGAGTCACATGAACTTGGGTTCCTATGTTGTTTCTGCCACTGTCTAATCTTGGGCAAGTGACTTGAGTTCTCTCTATGCCTGCATTTCCTCATTTACAGAATGAGGATGGTAATACCTGCTACAGGCTTGCGATGACTTCGATACTATCTAGAATTTGACTAAACCTCACAGGCTAAGACTGCCCTTAACTGCAGACACCAACCGCAGGTTTGGGGGTTCCCAGGGCTAGCCCCCTTCTAAATCACTGGCTTCAAACTTGAGGGTTCTTGCTATCTTAGGTTTGGAGCTTTGAATCCCTTGAGGTCAGTCAAACTTCCAGAGAGCTGGAGATGGAGCTGTCACATGGATAGTGATTGAGCAATGATCTTTGTGTGATGAACACCCGGTAAAAATCCTGGACACGAAAACTTGTGTGAGCCTCCCTGGTCGATAGTACTTTGTGTATATTGTTACACATCATTGTGCCAGGTCAGTGTGTCATGATTCCTTAGGGAGAGGACACTGGAAGTTTCATGTTTGCTTACTGTCAGGGAGCAAGAATATCCTGTCCCCATCAAGGTCCTTTTAGCCAGACTAAGAATCAAATTGACATGATACTTTTTAAAAAAAAAAAAAAAACCTTATTTATTTATTCATCAGAGAGAGCGCGTGCCCTTGCACAGTTGGGAGGAGGGGAGAGGGAGAGAGAGGAAATCTCAAGCGGTCCCTGTGCACAGGGACTGGATCTCACCATCCTGAGATCATGACAGTCAAAATCAAGAGTCAGACCTTTAACTGACTGAGCCACCCTGGTGCCCCAACATGAAACAGACCAACAGGAGAAAATCAAATTTCATCATACAAGGAATCTACGCATGGAAATTCCAAAAACGGGCAAAATGATGTATATATGTTTTGTTTTTTTTTTTTTTTTGATGTAAGCTCTGTCCAATGTGGGGCTTGAACTCAAAACTCTTGAGATGAAGAGCCATATGCTCTACCAGCTGAGCCAGCCAGGTGCCCCAAAGGTTAGAGGTTTAGGACTTCAAAGGAAAGAGGACTTTGAGTAAGCAGGCCTTGCTAGGTTCCTGTCTATCTTGTTTGTGGTATAATGTAGTTGTCTGTGGTGGTCACTCTTTTCCTAGAGCAAGTCCTCTAAATTGTTTTAAGGCATTTGTAAGGGAGGTAAAGAACTTTTCCTGAATCTGCTGGGTTTTGATTGCTTTTTAATTAAAAACAGTCTTTATGCCAAATTGGCCCATCTTGGGGCTACCCTGTAGTACCTTCCCAGATCTCACCCTGTCTCTTCCTTCGATTGGTTCTGATTCTTACCCTTTCACTATGGTAAAATTGTGATTATAAGTGTATTGCTCTCCAGAGTTCTGTGAGTCATTCTGTGAGTCATTCATTCTGTGAACCCAGGGACACATGCACATGCACGTACACATACACACACTTTCTAATGAGGTTATGAAGACATTTTTCTATGTAGTCTTTTAGGAGCTGTATTGCTGTACCTTTCATGAGAAGATCTATGGTACTGGCATTGATGTCTGTGTATAATGTCAAGTTGCATTTTAAATATGGATATGGAGATGATCCATTACCACTTAATTGAAAAGGTCCTCCTTTCCCCATTGCTCTATGTGTGGTACCACTTTTGTCATAAATTGAGTGTCAATATATCAGGATTTGGGAGAGGGAACTTTCTCTTCTATTCTCTTAATCTATCCTCTCACCAATTCTACACTGTTTTAATTATTGTAACTTTATTGTAAGTCTTGTGTAAGTCTTGCCATCTTGTTCTTTTTTAAGTGTCTCAAATATTTTTGTCCCTTTGCCTTTCCATGTAAATTTTAGACTCAGTCAGGTTCTACTGTTTTTTTTTTAATTGAGATTAAATTGAATCCATAGGTGAGTTGATATTATTATAATACTGAATCATGAATGTGGTATATCCCTCCATATATTTAGGTCTTCTTTAATCTCTCAACAATGAAAAAGTAACAGATTTACTGAGATATAATTTCTGTACCATCAAGTTTACACTTCTAAAGTATACAGCTTGGGAAGCCCGGGTAGCCCAGCGGTTTAGCACTGCCTTCGGCCCCGGGTTTGATCCTGGAGACCTGGGATCAAGTCCCACGTCGGGCTCCCTGCATGGAGCCTGCTTCTCGCTCTGCCTGTGTCTCTGCCTCTCTCTCTGTGTGTGTCTCTCATAAATAAATAAAAATCTTAAAAAAAAAATTTTTTAAGTATACAACTCAGTGGTTTTTTTTGTATATTCAGAGTTGTACATCTATTACCATCATCTTATTCCAGAATATTTCATCATTTCCAAAAAAAACCTTGTATCCATTATCAGTTACTCCATATTCTTTCCCCTCTTCCTAGCCCCTGAAAGCTACTAATCTACTTTCTCTGTGTATAGATTTTTTTTAAAGATTTTATTTATTTATTCATGAGACACAGAGAGAAAGAGGCAGAGACACAGGCAGAGGGAGAAGCAGGCTCCATGCAGGGAGCCTGATGTGGGACTCGACCCTCGAAGCTGGATCACACCCTGAGCCAAAGGCAGATGCTCAACCACTGAGCCACCCAGGTGTCCCTCTCTGTATATATAGATTTACATATTAGATTTTTCATTTAAGTGGAATCATGCAATATGTGGCCTTTTGTGCCTTTCACTTAGCATATTTTTAAAGTTCATCTATGTGTTGACATGTATCAGAACTTCATTGATATATGGCTGAATAATATTGATATATGGCTGAATGATATTCCATTGTACAGATAGACATATCCACTCATCAGTTGATGGACATTTGGGTGTTTTTCTCAGCAGGTTTTATAGTTTTCAGAAAATCTGCCAATGCAGAGTTTGAAGAGATCATAATTCTGAAATGGTGTATTTTTCATGGTTCTGTACCTGGTGGAATATTCCTTAGGTCTGTGATTATGCTAGGATGTAACTTCTGTGAGAATAGAGATTTTTATTCACTTTGTTAAATGATCCATCCTAAATCCCCAGACCAGTGCTATTCATAGCAGGCAATCAGTAATACTTGATTTAAATGAATGCATGGTCAGTAATGATCTATGTGGGGAAGTGTGCTGTTTATGAAAGGATGAGTATACAATTTCTGCAAGTTTGTTTTCTTATAACTTTGTCAAATGACCATCTTTATGTTTACAGGTGGAGTGGTTCAATCATTATAAAAAGTCCCTTGCTACTTATATGAGGTCACTGGGAGGAGACGAAGGTTTGGACATCACGCAGGATATGAAACCTCCAAAAAGCCTATATATAGAAGTAAGTATACCTTAAAGACAGATTTTTCAGGCAGCCCTGGTGTTTCAACGGTTTAGCGCCGCCTTCAGCCCAGGCCCTGATCCTGGAGTCCCAGGATCGAGTCCCATGTCAGGCTCCCTGCATAGAGCCTGCTTCTCCCTCTGCCAGTGTCTCTGCCCCCCTGCCCCCCCCCCCACCCCTGTGTCTCTCTCTCTCTCTCTCTCTCTCTCTCTCTCTCTCTCTCTCTGTCTCTCATGAATAAATAAATAAAATATTTTAAAAGAATAGAAAATAAAGACAGATTTTTCTTGGTGTGCCTGCCTGGCTCAGTTGGTAGGGCATGTGGCTCTTAATCTCAGGGTGGTGAATTTGAGCCCTGTGTGGGGTGTAGAGGTTACTTAAAAATAAAATCTTTAGGGCAGCCTGGGTGGCTCAACGGTTTAGCGCCACCTTCAGTCCAGGGTGTGATCCTGGGGACCTGGGATTGAGTCCCATGTTGAGCTCCCTGCATGGAGCCTGCTTCTCCCTCTGCCTGGGTCTCTGCCTCTCTCTCTCTGTCTCTCTCTCTCTCTCTCTCTCTCTCCCCACCCTGTCTCTCATGAATAAATAAAAATAAAATCTTAGAAAAAAAAGAAAAAAAGAAAATGGATTTTTCTTTAATGCATAGATTATGCTTAGAAACTGTTGTCTATGCCAGTGGAGCCATCTTGGCACTGGATGCTCCAGCCTGGACTCTTCTAGCCTCAGGCTGTTCGACTCTAACCAGAGACCAGCTGCATTCACTACGCTTTGTGCAAATTCCTGGCCCAGTGATAGAATCATTCTTTAGGGTTGCAAGAATCCATGGCATTAATGAAATGGCTGATATTTTATAGCGCTAGGTTTTGGTGTGGCTTGTTGCATAGATAACTAGAACATGGCCAATATTACATCCTTTAGGATTATTGTAAATTTTAAGTGGAAAATAAAAAAAGTATACAAAGCAAAAAAAAAAAAAAAAACTGTTGTCTAAGAGGGAAGAGCATATGAATATATATTAATACACATTAAGAAAGAAAGGAAACATATATCCAAACCAAAAATACTACCTCTCGGGGGTGGTGTGAATAGGGTAGAAGGTTTCTCAGTGCGCATATTTTTAATAGTTGTAACTTTGGAACTATGTAAATATTTTACATATTATTAAAAATTAAATCAAAACGGAAAGTCAGCCCACAGATTTTGAAAGCACAATGAAAGAAATGAACCTATGTTTCAAGTTGGTAGATTAGTCAAACAGGAATTATTTTAAATTACTTTAAAATACATAAATTGATTGTATATCCCTAGTAGATACGTCCTAGGGATGAAAAGAGTTACAGAGAAATCTTAACCTGTTTTTAGTAATCATATTATTAGTAATAATATCAGTGATAATAAGAGTAATAATATTACTGTTACTATTACTGTTATTTTGAAACAGTTTATATATTGATAAATCAAGCAAAAAAGTAGTGGTACCAGGAGCCAAGATTTTCAAAATAAGGGACTAGAGTTTCGAATATTAAAATGAAAAAGTAAGTAAGTAAGTAAGTAAGTAAGTAAATAAATAAATAAATAAATAAAAAATGAAAAAGTTAAGTGAAAGTCCTATATTCCCAAACTGGAGTTTGAAAAATCAGCATGGACTCATGTTGAATCATCTCTCTTTTCAAAAAAGTGTTTTTTAGCTGTGTCCACTAGACAGACCTAGAAACAGCAACAGCCCAGAGCCGAACATCCAAATCCTGGAGTCTAATGCCATTTCCCACTAAAGAAAACCAGGCTTAACTAGAGGGGAGATAAAAGGCTGATTCCAGATCCTAAATAAAAATGCACAAGCTGTGCTTGGAATACTTGTTTTCCTAGAAAGCACAGTGTATTGAGTATTAAGGACTTCAGGGGGGAGTGCCAAGTAAGTGGGAGCAGTGAATTGAATCACATTGGTTATGTCGAAAGCATGAATGCATAATGAGACCAAATAATAACAACATAAGAAAAATCTTTTTGGTCCCCCTTAGAGAATAATGAGGGATGTGGCTATTCTGAAAAGCGGTGAATAAAAAGTATGGGATCAGGCATCCGTCGGCTTTTACTGTACAAACTGTATCTCAGGGTAACCAAGTTGTTTACAAGGGAAATTTCTTCTTAATAGAAGAATTCCAGCTTACAAATGCAGTAGGAATAAAAGAAGTTAATTAACGCCATTTTGTAGCCATAACGCATGGAGGCAAATAGATTCTAAAACCAGTAGGTAGGTAAAAAGTTAATGGAGATAATGGTGAGGTTTATGGATGGGTACAGGTAACACCTAGACCTACTGATCAATCTTAATATCCAGAAAGGAACAATCAGACATTTTGTGCTTCATGAGGTCTTGCAAGAGGAAGTGTATAACACTCTTTGTCAGAAAATCAAACCTGATTTGATGTAGCCTCTAGATGTAACTTCAGTGTATAGGAACATGTTAAGTGATCCCACAAGGACCCACAAGAAAATCTAGTTTGTGGGAAACTCCCAAAGTACCCATTTTATTTAGCAATAAGCCAAGGGGAAGGGGGCACAGGGAGAAAACTACTGCATAGATTAAGACATGGAAACCTGTCAGAAATGTGTCTGTGTAGCTCTCGTTGGATTCTGATGTAACATGGCAGCTTTAAAGAAAACATTTATGAAACAAAGGGGGGACTGTGGATACTAACTGGATATTTCATGATAGTAAATTATTAAGATGTGATAACAGTATTATGATTATGTTTCTTAAAAAAGAATCTTATACCTGAAACTAACATAACACTACCTAGAATTAAAATAAAAACTAAAAAAAAAAAAAGAAATTCAGTGAAACCAAAAGCTGATTCTTTATGAACAAAGAATAAAATTAATAACCCTCTAAAAAATTAAATATAAGGGATCTTATTTTGTAGAAATAGATACCAAAATATAGTTGAAATGGTATGTAGGATTTGCTTCAGAATAATCCAGAAGTAGGCTGGCCACACGTTGATACTTGTTGAAGCCAGTTTTGGAGTGTTTGAGATTGCCCATAATTAAAGTCTATATTATTAATAATAATCCTTGATTATTAATTATTCTTAATTAGTATTATTTATTATCAAGAAGCAAAAAGGTGGTAGTAGTGGTGAGATTTTTCTTAAGAGGTATTTCTTGAACTAAGAATACCCTTGGAGGTCATGTTAAGATTCCAGAGGTGTCATAGGACATGAAATTACCTAGGAAGAGTAGAAAACCGAAACTTACTGTTGGGTTGGCTTCACTCATACCAGTGCAAGCCCTGGGGCACCAACTCCTGTCCTGAGTTCCCATGGGACTGGAAGCTTGCCCCTCTGGTGTCCTGTGGCAGCCTGAGAGCCAAAGGCTGTTGGTGATCTTGGCTGGTAACAAGTGGTTACCAGAAGGCTGCCTTACCCTTCCCACCTTCGACCAAGAACTTCTCTTGATTCTTATGACGTGTTTGCATCTGTTCTTCCATGATATACTTCTGTGTATTCCTGGGAAAGAACCTGAATATTTAAGGAAATTGGATGAATCTTTTTTTTTTTTTAAGATTTTATTTATTTATTCATGAAAGACGCAAAGAGAAAGAGGCAGAGACTCCAGCAGAGGGAGAAACAGGCTCCATCTAGAAAGCCTGATGTGGGACTCGATCCCGGGACTCTGGATCATGCCCTGAGCCAAAGGCAGACACTCAACCACTGAGCCACCCAGGCATCCCTGGATGAATCTCTTTAAAACAGAAATTGTGGAAACTTACCTGTGTCCTAATCTCAGATACTGATAGTTTATAGAAGAATCTGTAAGAGGCAAATTGGAGTCGATCTAAAGCATTCTCTTTTAGTAAGTACATATTTTGATCAGGATTTGCAGAGGGAACACAGTACGTGACACTGTCTTCCCCCACCAGCTCCCTGAGTCTCCTTGCTGTTGACACGAACATACACATACATTTGGAGATCCTGCCATTCTTCCTCACCATCCAAACAGGACAATCAGTATCTCAGTAAGGAGGCCCAGGCCCAGGTACACAGAGATGGAATAGACAGGCAGAAAGCCTAGTATTTGTACTGTGGGTATTTTTATAACCCCTATTTACTTTATGGTGACTACATATTAAAAATTATTTAGATAAAACACAGTTTTTCTTTTCAGGTGCGGTGTCTAAAAGACTATGGAGAATTTGAAGTTGATGATGGTACTTCAGTCCTATTAAAAAAAAATAGCCAGGTATTTCTCATCTTGAGATACTTTATTTTTTTTATTTATTTTTTTTAAAGATTTTATTTATTTATTCATGAGAGACACACAGAGAAAGAGAGAGAGGTAGAGACACAGGCAGAGGGAGAAGCAGGCTTCTTGCAGGGAGCCCAATGTGGGACTCAATCCCGGGACTCCAGGATCACACCCTGGGCCAAAGGCAGGTGCTAAACCGCTGAGCCACCCAGGGATCCCTACATCTTGAGATACTTTAAATCTTATGAGAGTGTTGAATGATAGAGATGCTAGAATCACTAGCAAAATAATGTTACCTTGTTTATAATATATATAAACACATATAACAAATGCAAGCTATAATAAATAGTTTCCTAAACAAAGGTTGAGCATTTTAAAGGCAAATTTTCAGGGGACCCAAAATCTTTCGTTATTAGAGCAAAAATTTCCCTCCCAGGTATTCTCTTAGAAGTAGGATACTAGGGAACCCTGGGTGGCGCAGCGGTTTAGCGCCTGCCTTTGGCCCAGGGCACGATCCTGGAGACCCGGGATCGAGTCCCGCGTCGGGCTCCCGGTGCATGGAGCCTGCTTCTCCCTCTGCCTATGTCTCTGCCTCTCTCTCTCTCTCTCTCTGTGTGTGTGACTATCATAAATAAAAATTTAAAAAAAGAAGAAGGATACTAATGAGTAGAAAGCAGATGGTAAAGAAGTGCTCTCATAAAAATCTGTATCTCTGGGGATCCCTGGGTGGCGCAACGGTTTAGCGCCTGCCTTTGGCCCAGGGCGCGATCCTGGAGACCCGGGATCGAATCCCACGTCGGGCTCCCGGTGCATGGAGCCTGCTTCTCCCTCTGCCTATGTCTCTGCTTCTCTCTCTCTCTCTCTGTGACTATCATAAATAAATAAAAATTTAAAAAAAAATCTGTATCTCTGGAGGATCCTGCAGGAAGCTGTGGTTCACAAGAACAAAGCTATCCTCATAAAGCAAGATAGAAGAAAACTTCATCTCAAACACCATGCTATGTTTGAATTTCTTTCTCAAGCTCTATAGCTGATCTCCCCACCAGAGTGCCCAAGTGGGACTGGGGCAGGTAGAAGCCAGCTGAGGCCCTCTTCCTGCTCCAGTGCTAGACAGTTGTCACTCTGTGGACCATGCAGAAGCCTTCCCTTTGAGATGTTTTTAACTTGTCTCTCAGTATTGCCCTACCCTCAATTATAAAAATAGAGGACAGTTTTATGTCTTTTACCTAGTATATGTTCATCTACTTCTCAAATGTCTGATCACATCTAAAACAAGTTTTCTTTTTTTTAAGGATTTTATTTATTCATGAGAGAGAGGCAGAGACACAGGCAGAGGGAGAAGCAGGTTCCATGCAGGGAGCCCGATGTGGGACTTGATGCCTGGACTCCAGGATCATGCCCTGAGCCAACGGCTCAGACACTTAACCATTGAGCCACCCAGGTGTCCCTACATTTCACATTCTTAAAGCATTTTAAAAATTTATTTAACAAATTAGGGTGTCTTCAACAGCCCTGTGTCTTCCTGATTGGTCAGGAGGGATTTATTTGGTCCTGGGTCCCACGATAGGCCTGTGAGCTGGTGTGGAAGGCCCATTAGGTGCGTAGGGCCACTGAGCCACAGCATGCCTCCCTGAATAAGTGTGACAATCCCTCGTGCTAAAGTTCTTCTCTCAGACTATTTGTTCTGAACTTCCTAATATACCATTTTTTGTTTTTAGCCAAGTATGTCCATCTTTTCTTTGAGATTTGTTTGGTTACCTGTGAGCTTGGAAAGTTTTTCTGCCTTGCTGCCTGCACCTCCCCACCCCAGACTTCAGGAAATGCTTCGTTTTAAGCCTGTGTGTTTTGAGGGAATCCGACAGGGAGGCTCCTTTAGGTCCCAGAACGAGAGTAGTTTCCTCTTGGAAGGACACAGTCATGAGCAGTAGCTGGGTATCTTCATGCACAGCATATGAACAGCACCCGTGTCACAGATTAGATACTTTTAATCCTTGAAAAATACAGGAGGAAGGTGGCCACTCTTGTTATGACAAGAATAAATGTTCAGGCTAGTACTAGAGAAGGCTTCATGGAGAAGATGCTCCTTTCTGATCTTCCCAACCAGCTCTTGTCCCACTTGTGACCCACTGCTGCGGAATCTCACCCCTGGGTTTACTGTTCATAAATCTCAAAATGCAGACACTGAGCAAAATTCCTACTGGAGTTAAGCTCAATGGAAGCAAACTGAATTTGTTTATAAAACTCAGAATTCAGTATAGTTTTAAGTGGCTTCAATTTCAGTTGACTGAAGTAGCAAATATACTTAAGTTTAGCTTTCAGCTACTTAGCTGTTGAAAAATATGTGTAATCGGTTGCAGCTTTTTAGTGATGCAAAATGTCACTTTAAATTCCTTTCTAATCCTTTCTCTTCGTCTCCCCATTTTCCCCTCAGCATTTCTTACCCCGATGGAAGTGTGAGCAGCTGGTTAGACAGGGAGTTCTGGAGCACGTGCTGTCCTGATCTTGTGCTACAGCAGCACAAGGGGGAACCACACCATGGAAAGTTCTACCCGTCCCTCCTGACCTCGCCTCTTTGGCTTTAAAAGTTAAGACATTCTGTAAGATAACCAGAAGTGTGTGGCTGAGGGGTGAGGATTCATCCTCCGCTTTGTAATGAACTGAAAGCTATATCTGTATTTATAATCATAACATTCTTTCAGTTACTGCAATATGGTTTTTTGACCTTTTTTTTTTTAATGAAAGTAAACATCTGTTGTGTTTGATTTTCTTTTATTTTTTTTCTCCCCAGTAATGACTTTATTTTTTCAGTGAATGTCTCCAGCCCACAATATAGCATACCGCCTTAAAGTACAAATCCAAGGAAGGTAATACCTTTCTTAAGTTACAAAACTTTGGCAAATTAATACAGTGCTCTTTAATACAATAAAATCCTTTTTTGTTTTTGGAGTCCTGTATTACTTTATTGATAATTTTCACTCCAAAAGTGTCAGTTAAGTAGCAAAACAAAACACTGTGGTTTATAATGGTGGTTTATAGCAGGACAAGTTATTTTATACAAATTAATATGTCTTTTTTAAAAACTACATAATTTCTCCTTTTATTTATTTACTTTAGAGAAGAAGTGGGTGGGGGGATGAATCTTACAGGCTCCACACCCTAGTGTGGAGTCTGAGGCAGGGCTCAATCTCAACAGCCCTGAGATCATGACCTGAGCTGAAATCAAGAGTCAGATGCGCAACCACCTGAGCTATGCAGGAAGCTATGCTTCCTTGTAGGGAGCATTCCCTCCGGGTGCCTGGCGGGCTCACTTCTTGTTCTCAAGGTTGTGAGTTGGAGCCCTACAGTGGGTATAGAGATTAAATTGAAATAAGACTTAAAAATAAAGAACATTCCCTCATACAAGTTTGTGAGGTTTACCACAGCAGAGTAATTGTATGTATTCCGGTGGCTCTGCCTTGTAAGAGTTCCGATGAGTGACAAGCTTTAAAATTCTACCTTAAAGATTAATACCAGTATGATTTCCAGGTACTTTTCAGAAAACATGAAATTTCTGCATAAATACTGGAATCATCAAAATTAGGTGGTCATTTCAAACAATACCAGTTTCAGATGGTCCCTTTTATTTAGAAAACCTATACCTCTTTGTTTTGATGAAAAGTCATAGCTTTTCTAAAGCTTATTAAAAAAAAAAACCTACCTACAATATGGTTTTTTTTAATTCAGTTAGCCAACATCAATATAGTTCTTGGGTTTTTTTTTTTTTTTTAGATTTTATTTATTCATGAGAGACACAGAGAGAGGCAGAGACACAGGCAGAGGGAGAAGCAGGCTCCCTGCAGGGAGCCCGATGTGGGACTCGATCCCGGGACTCCAGGATCATGCCCTGAGCCAAAGGCAGACACTCAACCATTGAGCCACCCAGGTGTCCTGGAATTTTAAATAATCTCTTGCTGCATAGGGAAAAGGTAGGTCTCTGCATCTTGTGTTGTTTCTGGTGGTGTGTGTTGTACAAACCCGGAAGCTGGGTTCCTGGGATACCCTGGGATACCTGTAATGTTTCCACATCACATGGGCAGATGGAGATGATGGTCTATCCAAGTTTTCAGTGTATATGTTTTTTTAGAGTGGTAGGCAGCAAAGTTTATTGAGCGATAGTAAAGTCCTAGTACAAAGCTCGTGAAAAAGGAGGGGACCCGAGAGGGTTGCCCCAGTATATGTAACATTTAATGATCTATTATCTGGCTATTTGGGAAGGCAGAAAAGGACACTGGATTTTCCCATTTCCAACAAAATTGATCTGGCTCTTGCCTCCAAGTTTGTGGGGTGGGAACCAGCATCATCATGTGGGAGAAGGGAATAGAAATGGGGGCTAAAACAGGAACTTTGTACAGTTTTCACCCCAGATTCACACTGTAAAATCACATGAAGCTGGTTGGCAAGGTGGGGGGCACCTTCTGTTGTCTGGTGACCTCTGGGCAGTTGGGGCTGGAGAGGCAGAGTGCTCCTGCCTGGTGGGCAGTGGCCTTTCCCCAGCCCCCTCCACGGCCCACAGCCGGTACAGTAATCTGAAAGAGGCATTCTGTGTAAAAGTCCAGATAAGCCCAGGACCTGGCATGTATTAAATGTGCAGTTTCATTATTACATAGGGGAAATATCTGGTCAAAATTATATAAAGAAATCAAGTTATAGAAAGGCTTTACCTGGGATATGGAGTTGTATGTTTTCATACCTACTGAGGTCTGTAGGCTTCCCTTTACAGATTATTTTCATTATTGAAAAGAATTTCTTGATACTTTTTGTGGCCAGATCAGATTTTCATCTAAATCTCTGCAGATAAACAATAAGGAAAACTTCCCAAGTGAATGGGATGGATGATGTTGATATTTTAACTGTGGGTCTGTAGCCACTGCCCTCATTCTACTCCCCGACATGTGGAAACATGCAGCCAGGTGAGCCCTGCAGTCCACAAGAGTCCACTGTGAGGATAAGCGGCTGTGAGGGACATTGCTGTGTTGCCAGCCCAGCAGCATTCCCGAACTTACATTTAATTTCCTAAATAGAATAGTAAGTATATTCCTTATTTGAAATCAATGTATAGGAGTTGGAAATATGAAATTTTGGATGTTTTATTGATTTATATCAACTGCCTCTCTATTTAGAATTGTGGTTAGAATTTTAAACATGATTATTCTTTTTTTTTTTAAGATTTTATTTATTTATTCATGAGAGACACAGAGAAAGAGGCAGAGACCTAGGCAGAGGGAGAAGCAGGCTCCATGCAGGGAGCCCAACGTGGGACTTGATCCCGGGACTCTAGGATTACGCCATGAGCCGAAGGCACATGCTAAACCACTGAGCCCCCCAGGGATCCCCTAAACATGATTATTCTTACATATATGTTTATTATATATGATATATATGCTTATATATATTACATATATGTGCAGTTAGAAAACGTAGGAAGTGAGAAAGTAAGTGCCCCCTTCCCTGGCAAACCTACCACCCAGTGTGTTCACTGTTAACTGATCACACACAAAGTCCGATTCCATTTCCTTCTAAGCAGTTTCCTAGTTATGTTCTAGATTTTGTTCCTAATGTGAATGCAATCTTTTTTTCCTATTATATTTCTTAACCAACTTTGGCTGATAACATGTAAAGAGCAGCAAATCATGATGACCTGGCCACATTCTAATATTTATATAACCTCATTTTTCATTTTGATTTTGTTGACCATGTGAACACACACAGGAAAGGTGGGTGTCAAGAGGCCCTCAAAAAAACAAGAACCACCTGCTGACACTGTAATTAATGTTTGAGTTCCAGCATTCAGAGCTGCAAGAAAATAAATTTCTGTTCAAGCCACCCAGTCTGTGATTTTGTTACGGCAGCCCTAAGCAAACTAATACAGGATGTTAAATAATTTTCCTTAAAAATTAATTTCCGGGGCAGCCTGGGTGGCTCAGCGGCTTAGCATCGCCTTGGGCCCAGGGCGTGATCCTGGAGACCCGGGATCAAGTCCCACGTCCAGCTCCCTGCATGGGGCCTGCTCCTCCCTCTGCCTGTGTCTCTGCCTCTCTCTCTCTCTCTCTCTCTCTCTCTCTCTCTCTCTCTCTCTCTCTGTGTGTCTCTCATGAATAAATGAATAAAATAAATAAACCTTGAAAAAAATTAATTTCCATTGATGGACACTGAATTGTACCCAGCCTTTTGCTACTCTGACAAAGCTAATGTAAGTAACCTGGTACATATATCATTTTAAACATGCGGCTTAATCTGTAGGATAATTATAATTTTTATTGCCCTTGCCAAAATATATAGGAATTCTAGTAATTTGTACTATCACCAGAAATGAGTGATGGTAACTGTGCCCTTCCCTATTCCATCCTTGCTAGTAGTGCATTTTTTCCCATTTTGGGCTGTTACAAAAAAATATGCCAGGCACATCTGTGTACAAGTCTTGAATGGACATATATTTTCTCTTCAGCAAATGATTAGGAGTAGAAGATATATAAATATATTTAACTTTTTTTTTAAAGATTTTTATTTCTCTGAGAGAGGGAGAGAGAGAGCAGGGGCAGGGCAGAGGGAGGAGGAGAAGCCGACTCCCTGCTGAGCAGGGAGCCAGATGAGTGGCTCAGTCCCAAGACCCTGAGCTCATGACCTGAGCCAAAGGCAGGCGCTTAACCAGCTGAACCACCCAGGCGCCCAAATATATTTTTAACTTTTTAAGAAACTGCTAAATTCTTCCAAGGTGGTTGTCCATTTTGTATTCACACCAGCAATGTATGCATTATTTTTCCACACCCTAGCCAAGCACTTGGTATTGGTTAGTCTTTTTAATTTTAGCCATTCTAATAGTGTGTAGTGTCTAATGCCATCTCGTTGAGGTTTTAACTTGCATTTCTCTAATGACTAATGTTGACCATCTTTACATGTGATTATTTGGAATCTATCTTCCTCGGTGAATTTTCTAAAAATTTGTCCTTTAAAAACAAAAATCTGTGTTTTCTTAAAATTTTGAGCGTTCTTTATATATTCTGAATACAAGTCCTTTATAACTAATGTATGCTTTGCAAATATCTCGTTTCTGGCATCTTCATTTTCTTAACAGTATGTTTTGAAGAGCAGACATTTTAGTTTTTTGTGTTTTTTTTTTTAATTTACTTATGATAGTCATATATATATATAGAGAGAGGCAGAGACACAGGCAGAGGGAGAAGCAGGCTCCATGCACCAGGAGCCCGATGTGGGATTTGATCCCGGGACTCCAGGATCGCGCCCTGGGTCAAAGGCAGGCGCCAAACCGCTGCGCCACCCAGGGATCCCAGACATTTTAGTTTTGATAAAAATCTGATTTATCCATTTTTTCTCTTATGCTTTTGGTGTCATATCTAAAAAATCTTGTCCCAGCCCAAGGTCACAAAGATTTTCTCCTTCATCTAGAAGTGTTATAGTTTTAGGTTTACCCTTAGGTCTAGGATCCATTTTGAATTCATTTTTGTATATGGTACAAGGTATTGACCAAGGCTACCCAAGGCTACCAAAGTGGAAGCATGTGGCCATCCTCCTCTTCTAGCATCATTTATTGGAAAGGCTACCCTGCGGCGCCTGGGTGGCTCAATGGTTGAGCGTCTGCCTTCGGCCCAGGGCATGATCCCAGTTGGGGGATTGAGTCCCACATCAGGCTCCCTGTGAGGAGCCTGTTTCTACCTCTGCCTAGGTCTCTGACTCTCTCATGAATAAATAAATAAAATCTTTAAAAAAAAAAAAAGTTTTCTACATCTATGGTCATGTTTTCTGTGAATAGTTTTACTCCTTCCTTTCTACCCTGGAGGACTTGTCTTTGTTGCCTGACTGCACTGGTTAGAACCTCCAGGAGAGTACTAGATAAAGGTGGTCTACATCTTGTGTCTGATCTTAAGAGGAAAGCATTCCATCTTTTTACTGTTAAATATAACGTTAGCTGAGTTTTTTGTAGGTGTCCATTATCAGGTTAAGGAAACTTTTTCCTAGTTCCCTGAGCATTTTTATCAGAAACAGATAATTGGGTTTTGTCATATCCCCCCAATGCATGTACTGAGATATTTGTCTTTTGTTAGTGTGGTGAATTTCAGTGGCTGATTGATTTTCCAGTATTAAACCAACCGTGCATTCCTAGCATAACCCCAATTGGTCATGATGCACTAATACTTTTTTGTAGGATCTGATTTGCTAAAATATTGAGAATTTTTGCATCTGTGTTCATGAGGGATATTGGTATGTGGTTTTCTTGTCATGTCTAAAGACCATGCAAAGACCCTATTATAGAATGAGTTGGTAAATACTCAATTTTTTGGAAGTTTGTATAGCCTTGGCATTAGCTCCTTCTTAAATGTTCAGTAGAATTCACTTTTAAAACATCTAGTCTAGGAGTTTCTTTTTTGGAAGATTCAATTTCTTTTATAGATCTAGAGTGATTTATTCCTCCAGGATGAGCTTTGGTCATTTTTGTCTTCTGCATTTTGTCCAAGTTGTTGAAGCTATTTACATAATGTTATTCATAATATTGCCTTATGCTTCTTGTAGATTCTGCAGTGATGTCACCTGATTCCTGATACTGGTAAATTTTTTTCTCCTTTATCCTGATCATTCTGGCCAGAGGTTTATCAATGTTATAAAAAAAAAAAAAAAAAAAAAAAACCTTTGGCTTCAATGACCTTGGCTTTTTTCCTGTTTTCTATTGTAGAAGTCAACAAACTTTTTCTGTATCTTAGTCTTTGCAGGCCACATGGTCTCTGATGCCGATCGCAAAAGCAGGCATAGATGGTACATATGCAAATGGGTGTGGCTGTGCCAATCAAACTATTCACAAAAACAGGCCCCCGGGGTAGACTTAACTTGTAGCCTGCAATTTCCTGTTCTATTCCTCAACTTTTACTGTGGTCTTCATTTTTTTCCTTTCTTCTGCTTACTCTGGGTTTCACTCATGTTTTTTCTAGTTATTTAAGGTGGAAGCTGAGGTCATTGATTGAGACCTTTTTTCTAATACAGGAATTTAGTGCCAATGAATCTTTCCCTAAGTTAATGCTTTAGCTCCACCCCACAATTTGGTATTTTGTGTTTTCATTTTCACTCAGTTCAAAATATTTTCTGATTTCCCCTGATTTCTTATTCGGTTCATGGGTTATTTAACTGTATTATTGTTTCCAAATATTTGGGGATTTCCCGAATAATCATTCTGGTCTTGATTCCAAATTTAATTCCTTTGTGATCAGAGAATATACTTTGTATGATTTAAATCCTTTTAACTTTTTTGCAGGCCCAGAATATGATCTATCTTGGTAAATATCCTGGTGCACTTCTGCTATTGTTGGGTTCTATAAATGTCAGTTGTTTGATAGTGTTGTTCAGGACTACTAGATCCAGTCTCCTTGTTGCTCTAGTCTCAGCCAGAAGCCCACAGTGAATGAAGTGTGCCCTTGATAAACGTATACAGCCATGTAACCCAAACTTTATTGAGACTGTTTTAATAACTAGTAGAACTAGTTCCCACTCATTGGTCTTTTTTCAGTTTTCTCTATTATTCATTTATCTAGCTATACATATAAATTTTAGAACTGTCCAACTGGACAAGGGGTTGATTGGGGCAGGGGATACCCACTTTTATTTTATTGGGGCTATGTTACATCAACCAGTTAGTTTAGAAGAACCAACTTCCTATCCAAGAACTGATCTTCCCACCTATTCTGGTCTTTTTTTTAGTAGGTTCCAAGCCCAATGTGAGGCTTGAACTCATAACCCCTAGATTGAGAGTTGTATGCTTTACCAACTGAAACAGCCAGGTACCCCATTCCAGTCTTCTGTGCCTTTCCATGGTGCTTTAAAGTTCTTCTCATACGAGCACATATAATAAATGTACAGACAGAAGGGGAGTGGCTGCCTCCAGGAAGGGGGAGGAGGCTGAGAGCAACAAACGCAACAGGGTCTGCACCTCTAGCTATAATGTAGCAGAAAGATTTTAATACATTAATTTTTTTTATTTTAATACATCTAATTCATAGGCACAGGAGTGTTTTTATAAAACTATTTTTCTATTTGAAAGATTTAATAAAAAAAACTCAGAAGGTAAAACAATTTTAATAGAAAAGTTTTTGTTAATACAGTGACTCTTCATAGTACAGTAGTTTATTCTCATAAACCAAATGACCATAACTTATATATATATTTTGGATATAAAACTATAGTTTTTTTTCTTTACATATAGTACAATTTCCAGTGTGATGACATTTCATTGAGGAAAAGATTGCATTTGCAATATATATAATCGTCCCTGAGTCCACAGACCTACAGTAAGCACTCTCTAAACATCCTCCTGTGGTGGAGCAGGGTTGACAGTCACAGCGAGTAGTCCTTCTAGAAGGTCTGTACCAACCCAGATAGAGAATGCTAATGATCTAAAGCCACAGCAGTAATGGTGAAAGGGTGACACTGTCCAGAGCACTGATTTTCCATTTTACACTCTGCAGCTAAGGTCAGGAGTACAACATTAACGCTGATTTTACCATTTTCTTTTCACCCTTCCATAACGGGTTTCACCCACTGGTAGCAAAACTGGGAACTTTACCTACAGAAATTACCCAGGACCACTAATAAAAATGTAGACTTTTCCGGCACGACTATTTCCTGAGCATCTGGCACAACAGACATATTTCAATGTGTATGAGGTGAACAAAGACTCAGAAACGTCCTATGTCCAGTACACAGCCAATGAACATTAGAAAATTATGGCACCATGGTGGCTTAATTTTAAAAGATGTTCTTTCGAAATGAGCTCCCGGAAAGCAAGCAACCATCACACAGAGAGGGAAGCTGAAGCAAGCATACTGACAAGTCTGTTGAGAGCTCTAACTTTTTCTTCCAGGATGCGGTTTTTCTTCTCAGCACCTCGTAGCTTCTCTTCAGTGACCTGAAGTGCCTTTGTCAGGTGCGCATTTTCCACATAGAGCTCCTTGAGCAGCAAATCCGATTTTGTGTTCTTTTCAAACTAGAAAGGAAAGAACCAGACTTTCCCGTGAATCTACTACAGAAACACTGCATGGGAGCCTGCCTCCCTCCCCCGCTTCCACCTGTGCTCAGACCAGCATCAGGTTGTTACACATCCGAGACAAACACTGGGTGTAATGACAATTTGTTACCCTGGCATGAAAGAGGAAATGGAGAATCTGACGAACTATGTGGTAGAGAACATTGAACTCAACTGTGTAAGAGTTGATTTTACCATGAAATGAAGATATAAATAAACCAAAATCACCAACCTTAAAAAGGACTATCCAGCATAATGTCAAAACGTAAGACATGTCATTCTGATTCATCTCAGTGTGCTCAGCAGACCCACCGAGTGACCCGGGATGCATAGCGGCACCGCATCCACCCTCAAAGCCCTGAGTGTGGAGACCAGTCCCCACAGACATGACAGCCACAGTGATGCGGATACAAGGCTGCTCTAGTTATGAGCCTTTGCTCAAGATACAAGGGCCTTGGGAAGTCAATACTGCATGTATTCATTCAACAAGTAATGCCAGCGCCTCGAGGTGGCCCTGCCTGCAGGAGACGGAAGCAGACAGACCAGAAACAAATATGGGTGTCGAGGCGAGACAAGTGCTAGGAGGACTGTGTAACCGGGTCTGAGTCTGCCTGTTCGATGTGCAGCAAAGATTATCACTGAGGGAGTGCGTGGCAAGAAAGGAGAGCAAGCTAAACGGGGAGGGAGGGGGAGATGGGAGATGGGAGGGTAAGACCCAGACCTGCCTCCCCCAAGGAGAGGGGTCAGGTTGTTTACATAAGAACAAAAGAGGTCTGGGTGAAAAGTTACAGCTACACGCTTAGCAGTCCTATTAACTCTGGTTACTGGTTTCACTGGGAGGGGATAGAGAGCAGAGGAGGGAGTCCCTACTCTTGTTGGGGTGAACAGGGAAGGCTTCTCTCTTGACATGTGAACAGAGATCTGAGTAAAGCGGGAGGAGTGCTGAGGCTGGCCAGGCAAAGAGAGGCTGGCCAGGCTGGGGGGCGGGAATGTCCAGAGGCCTGTGGCTGGGGGCATGGTGCCGGAGGCCACTGACAGGAAGTCAGAGCCGCCACGCTGGCTGGGCACCAAGGGGAGGGGACGAGAGCCTGGAGGCCCCTCTGCCTTGTCCCTGCGAGCTGTGGGAGGGCTGGAGGGTAGAGGAGCCAGCCCCTCAGTCACGCTGGGAAAGCACTGCTGTCACGCCTGCACCGGGAACAGAGCACAGAAGAGGAAGGTGGGACTGTGGTGCGGGGTTCACGTCCCTTCCTAAGGCTGAACTGACGGGCCCTCTGGGGACACGGTGGGGGACACATCTACCACAGCCTCCATGGCTTGGACCTGAGCCAATGGCATGGGTGGGCGTATGGGAAGGCGGTGAGGGTGTGCAGACAAGCCGTTGCGGGTACTTCTGTAAAGGGGGCAGAGGCAGGGCCAGGCCCCTTAAGCTTGAGGTTCAGGGGGCAGTGAGGGCCCCTGAGGGGAGGGCCTGGGCCCAGGGGCATACACACAGGCCAGGTGGCTGGCTCCCTCCACTATGACGCCGGCTAGCTCTGGGAGCACTGGGCCTGGACGGCACAGGGCCAGGTGTGCCGGAGCCAAAGGACCCAAGCAGGATGGAGGCTGTGCAGGCAAGAGGAAGCACAGCGAGGGGCCGGCCAGACAATGACTGTAGGGTCAGGGTCAGCTAAAATGTACAAATCTGGGGGCACTGAGAGTCTGGGACACCGGGCCAGGGCCACCAGAGAAGTCAGTGGACGGTGGGGAGGGAGCTGCAAAGCCAGGAAGATGGTCAATGAGTGGGAGGGGACTCCCACTGAGAACAAGAGGGTCACAGGTGTTTCATGCTATTTGAGCTCAGCTCAGGAGCCCTCTAACACACTTGATTACTGTAATAAACATATTTCTACAGATTTGCACACTTGATTCCTTCCAGGTCTGAGGAGAATGCTGCTGGAGCAGCTGGTGTTCAGCAGCTGGTGTTCATCTGAGCCTCTTGTGTGCTCCTGCTTGTCTGCAGCTTTCCTCCCCTCCCGGCGCCATTGCGCTGGCTGCTCAGCTGCTGGTTTTTTGCAGCCCAAGGAGATTGTAATCTTTCTGGAGCACAACAGCTAGGGCCTCCTTGTTTGGTCTCTGCTCCCTATAGCAGCCCACATGTGCCTTTGTCCCCTAGAGTGGTTCATTTAAGAACACAGATCATACATATCATGCTCTTGCTTAAAGGATTGCTTCTAACTGCAACTAAAATAAAAGCAAACTCCTGACCTGGAAGGAGCCTGTCTGCCAGCCAGCTCACAGGAGCTGCAACTCCGCAGCCCCTGCCTGAGTGCTGCACTTGGGGCCCCACCCGAGGACATGTGCCTGTACCACTCCTCTGCCGGGATGCCCTCCTCTGAGCTTCCGGCATGTTCCCCAATACACATGGAGACACAGTGCCTTTTTATGGCCGTCCCATCGACTGGAGGCGCTGAGGCGTTCAGCCCCACACGGGATGGGACAGACACACCCAAGCAGCACTCATCCCTCCCAAAAAGTGAACCTGGCCTCAGCCAGACCCTCCATGGCTGTTCCTGGTGTCTGCTCCCACCTCATCTGAAGGGGGCGGTCCCTGGCCACCCCCACCACTTCCCATCCACCACCATCTATCTTCTCTCCTTCAGGGTGAGCATTTCTCACCACCTGAGGTCCTTCATCTTGCTACGGTCTGTCTCCATCTCCAGAATGTCAATCTTCCTAGGACAATAAATGCTGTGATGCATAACAGGCACTCAGCCAGTATCTGCCCAGTGACTGAATGAATGACAGAAGTCTGTGTGAACGCCTCTTAAATGCACCCTAAAGAATCCCCAAAACAAAATAAACACAATGTACAAATATAGCATAGGGTGTGTATTTAACAAAATCAATTTTTCTGTTACTTTCAACTGTTAATTTTCTAAAAAAAGAAATCTGTATTTTCAGATTCTCAGAGTTTAGATGGAGCTGCAGGTTGTAGTCAGTGTTCCCTGTGTTCTGTGAGGACAATCTCACCCCAGAAGAGCTCCTTGAACAACCACAAAAGGAAAAAGTTCAGTGCACGTGGCAGTGACAGATGTCTACCACTGACCTGCTCTTTCAGCTGGGCCACTTTTTCTTGTAGGAGCATTTCCACATTCTTCAGAACTATTCCCACCTCTTCTAGGTGCTCTTTGGTGTCTTTAAGCTCCTTTTCACGTTCCTCCTGCCAAAAGAGGTTACAGATCAACAGTTTACATTCCAGAAAGAATCATCTCAGGCTTGCTTACTTCAGAATGGAAATTACCTAAAACGTACAAATCTGGGAGGGACTGGGGATAACCCTTCATTTGGAAAGAGAAACAAAGAATGTCCTGCCACAAGCCACAGGGCTGACCGTACTCTGTAGTTCAAGGGGAATCAGCGGACTGCTTTCCTGGCAATTTCTTTCTAATTTGAATTTATTTATTTGAGAGAGAAACAGCAAGAGAGCACGGGGAGGGAGTGACAGGGACAGGGAGCTTGATTCCAGGACCCCGCAATCGTGACCTGAGCCGCAGGCCAATGCTCAACCCACTGGGTCACCCAGGCACCCCTGCTTTTCTGGGAATTTAATCAATGGCTCCAAAGTGTGTTTCCCCAAATGTGTTCCTGCGTACTTCTAAAGGATTTCTGGTTAAATTTCCCCGTTTGGTCAATATTCTATCATGGCTGGTCTTATCTCCTAACATTTTTGCACAATGCTGGAGGATTATTATTCTTCCAGAGAATGTGTGCTTCACAACCATCGAATCTTGCCTGCCTTTCAAGGCTGGCTCCATTTCTTCCCCATGGAGGCCCCCCAGCCCCAACCTCAGGCTCTGGCCTCTGTACCCTCCTGCCTGCTGCTTCCTCAGGAACTGCACTGTGACATTTCAGGGGGCACTTTCTCAGTCTGACACCCCGACGTACAGTGCACGCGTGCCAGGCTATTCAAGCACTTCAGATGTGCTAACTCGCTGATGCCTCACACGAATGCTCCGAGGTGGGGACCACTGGCACCCGCCATTTACAGATGAGGAAACTGAAGCAGAGAGCGGCTGAGGAGCTGGTCAGGCTTGCTCAGCTGGGAGGTGGTGAGGCCTGGATCCCAACTGTGGTCCCTAACCTGAGCCGCACAGTCCTGCTCCCCTTTAAGGCAATGACTGTTTCTAGGTCTCTAGATGCCTAGACTCTTGTGTGTGATGTGTGTGACTCTTCAGTGGCCTCTTGTCCCACCACCTCCTCCTGCCTCCCCCTCATCCTCACTATCCTTAAACATGCCAAGTACAAGCCCATCTCAGGGCCTTTGCACATGCTGCTCCTTCCACCTCTCAAGCACTCTCCCCAGGTAAGTGGATGGCTCACTCCCTCAACTCCTCAGGTCTTGGCTCAAGGAACACATTGGTGAGGCCTTCTCTGGCCCCCCATTAAAAACTGCAAGGCGTCCTCACCACCATCTGACAGGCTATCCTCATGACTCGTTTTCATTTGTCTTCCTACCACCACTGGAATGTAGGCTCAGGAGGGCACCGGCTTCTGCCAAATGTGTTCATTTCTGTATCTCCATACCCCAGACCTGTGTGCACCCAATAAACAACTTCTGCAGTCCTCGTGTGTGCCTGTGGGTAGGTTTTTTTCCATTCTGCAAAATGGTTTAAGATTCTCTTTAAATTAGATGCATCATTTGTAAACTGGAAGTGTTCACGTAAAAACTTAGTTTCTGGCTTTCCTTTGAAATTGGGAGAATTGGCAGATGGGGCCTGCACTCCCCCAGGGCGACATAGGACCTCACCCACAGCTTTAATCTAGGCCTCTACATCATCACATTTCTGGCACTGTCAACAGAGGGAGCGTGTGGTCCCTAACCATTAGCCACGTGGCCTCCACAGGCACGGGCAGCCCCTGCTGGAGACGCCCTTCGGGTCAACTGGCTCATCGTTGTCCAAGTGGGTGGGTGACACCCTCCCCAACGGGCTTGCCACCCCTCCCTCATCCGTCCCACACTGTTCAGACTGGAATCGGGAACCCCTGGTAGCTGTACGACCCGACCTCTGGGAGCTGGGAGGCAGCTCCTGGCTGAGTGGCCAGATGCCCTACCTCATCACCCCATGCCGGGGAGAAGGGCCTCAGGGCCTGGTCCCCACTCATCCGCCTCCCCCTCTCCTCCTGCAGGACACACTCCTTATGGAGCTGCGGAGCTACCTGCCACTCCTCTTGCAGCAGCCGCTGCGAGCCAGCCACACGGTCCCAAGGCCCCAGCTGCTGCACCAGCTCCTGCAACTGCGCAGCCTCCCCGGGGTGCGGACACCACGCCACCTTGGCCCCAGGTGGGCAGCATGCAGCTGCGCCGGGGAGAAGCCCAAGATCATGCCGCCGTGGCGACACAGCAGGCAGGTGACACCCCACGCTCACCGCAGCTAACAGCCGGAGCGCACGCACAGGTCCCTGCCCCTGCGGCCCAATGTGGGAAGAAGCCATTCATCCCAACCCCGCCGGCCCAGCGCCTCTGCACAGGCGCCCCGAGAGGTGATGCTGTGCCTCCACGGCCCAGGAGGATGGTGCTCTGGTGGCTGGGTCCATTTAACCACCGCCCACTCACAGTCATGCGTGGTGACTGTCCCTGGGGCAGAGAACTCACACTCCTGAGACGGGGCCAGGGCCACAGGGGGGCAACCAGGACGCGGTGGAGGCCGGAGGGACCCCAGCACCCTGCCCACCAGCCACGGGGCAGAAGGCTTCCCTGCAGTGGTGCCGTGCGGGACCATTTTTACTGAACCGTACGTAATTCAGCCAGTCCTTCTACGGAACACCACTTAAATCTCTTTGGTTCTGGAGGCTTCCCCTAGAACACACAGGACTTCCTTGGCACCCTCCCTGGCCATGTCAACCCTCACACACCCCTGTGGCCCCACAGATGGCAGTCTTGACTCTGTCAAGAGTCACACCCAAGGCAAGGGTCAGAGGGATGGGGAGGGTACCAGCTCTGGCCACTCAGGGGCAAGAGCAAGCTCACAGGCCTCAGCTCACTGTGTCCCCGTGTCCCCAAGGGGCCGTCTCAGGGACCATGTCATCACCGTACTGTGTGGCTATTCCGAGGACAGGGTCATCCCAGAGTGGCACACGGCACACAGTCTTCAGAACCACTCCCGGGCTCTTCTGGGAAAGTGCCATGTGATGACCTATAAGGTCAGACGACCAGGACACACTCTCAGAGACACCTAGTCTTCATCCACAGACACTGAAGACTTTTCAGAGGCACGGACGTGAAACAGGTGTCTTGATATTAGTAAAGCTGAGACCCTCACCTCCCCCATGGACAGGTGAGGGCTGTGCTCCCCACCCCCCCAGTGGACAGGTGAGGGCTGTGTGCCCCCCCTGCCATGGACAGGTGAGCTCTGTGCCCTCCCCATGTGGACGGGTGAGGACTGTGTCCTCTCCCCATAGAGAGGCTCTTTGCTCTCCCCCTGAATCCAAGCTGGACCGAAAGAACACGGGGCGGGGGTGGTGGTGGTGGTGATGCTCTGTAATGCTGTGAGCCTGGCAGCTGTTCCTCTAAGGACATCTGGTGGCCTCTCCTGTCAGAGCTTCAGTGCTGTGCTCCGAGTGCCCCCTGCCACCGTGAGGCCAGGTGTGGGTGCTCCTGCTGACAGCACCACTGGGCCCCCATGCACCGGCCAACATGAAGGACAGGCTCTGCGACCTGACCCAGCTGTGCCTTCAGGTGACACCCGCCCCACCCCCCCTAGACTGCAATAGCAACCCGAGCCACCAGGTGAAAACAGCCAGTGAGCCCACAGCCCTGAAGGAGAAGGGTAAGCGGTGCTACGAGCTGCCCAGTTTGGGGGTGGCGTGATGATACGCTGCAGCTCAGAACCAACATGGGGACCCCCAGGGGTGTGTGAAATGCACAGCACCCTGCTCCCCACACCCTCCCCTGAGCCAGTATCTTCTCCAACTCACTCCCCTGCTGATAGCTGTCTAACCTGCTCTGTCTCTGGACCCTTCTCCTCAAAACAGCCCTGGCTGCCCCACGTTGTTCTGCAACCCCTTACCACGGCCTGTCCAGAGGCTCCTTAAGTTCCCTGTAGGCTCCTTTTACTTCCCCAGGTGAACTTTCATCAGTGCGGTGGGGGGAGGTCCTCTTCTAAGTCACAAAGGACTCCTGACTTGGGGTCTCCCACCGTTGACAGTGGCTGCCTCCTAGCCTCAGAGAGCTCAAACTGGTCCAGGCAATTTCTCAAGGTTCCTTCCAGACTTAAAGACAGAGGAGGGGCACTCCAGATGCTCAAGCATCCCTGGGAGAATACTTATTTGCAGCGGGAAGGCTGAGCCCATCCGAGCCCCCAGAAGCACCTCATAAGGCTCGGGGCCCGGGGGGCCAGTTGGGGAGCCTGCGAAGAGGCTCAGATGGGGGAGGTACACAGGTGCCACGCTCAAGGAAGGATGGTCCTGGGCCTCAGCCTAGGGGCCCCTCCCACACCAGGCTTGGAGACTTCTCCCACGCCCCCCCTTCCCTTTCTGTAGCCGCCAGCCCCCTGAGCCCCCCATCTGAGTCCACACTGGGCCCTGAGGGCACCTCCCGCTGTCAAGCACCTGCCATTCTCACCTCCTGCTTCCCCAGGAAGGACCAGCACCCTGTCCCGTGTCCCTGCACCTCATGCTCTCAGGGCATCCCAAGGTCCTTGAATGGCCCACGCCATTCATGTCAGACTACAAGCCCTCCACCTCCTCCTCCGTGAGCCCTGAGAACCTGGCCCACTGCGTGCATACATGCTGGGAAAGGGGAGCCAGCAGAAGGCAAGAGCTCCACAGCCACACGTGGGTGCAAGTTCAGGGCTTCTGTGCACACAGTGGCCCATGTGAGAGTAACAGGCATCACGCCTGCTCACCATGGGCCACTGCACCCTGGGTCCTTGGATTTGCCATGGCCCTCTCCTCAGAGGCCACCTGCTGCTCTCCGTTGCTCTTCTGTTCTACAGGTGGCACACCCAAGAGCACTGCTCTGCCTCTGGATAGCCTGACCAACCCGGTACGACGCTCGACTTCCGTGCCCAGCTGTGCAACCTCAGGCCAGCCCAATAACCTCTCTGGGCCAGACCAGTCCTGGCAACGTGCTGTCAGTGCTCCACGGCGTTGAATTTCTTCCTGGCTGAGACCAAGCCACCGGCCATCATGCACACCCACCTGGTCTTGACTTTCTTCAAGGGTCTCTCTCAGCTGTGACTGTGACAGTCTCAGGCTCTGACATTCCTGATTCATGTGTTCAAGTTCCAGCTCAAGTTTTTGGATTTGCTCACTCTGTTTTTAAAAAATCAATTTCACAAATATAAGAAATCTCCTCAGCATGTTTAATCTCATACATGTTTCACGTAGAAACTTCAGAAATGTGCAGAAAGGCAAAAATTACAACATGTAAATTACCCATCATGCCAGCAGCCTGAGGACCACACCTGACATTGTGCTGTGACCTCAGCCCCTTCTCCACACATGCATTTCTAACAGTAAGACTGCCTTAATGTCATATAGTGTTTTCCTCATTATATCTCAAACATTTCCCCATGACATTATCTGAAAATATGATTTTTAGTGACTGCACCATAACTTATTGACTCATTCAGTATTCTTGATGATTCAAGCTGATTCCAATTGTTTTGCTATTCTGAATACCATAGCAATGAAAATACTCCAGCTAAAAGCCCTTCCATGATGCTCAGCTAAAAGCCCTTCTCATACGCAGAATTATGAAGTCAGAGCACATTGACATTCTTAAGGCCCTTGATATATATTTTGCCCAAATGTCCTCCAGAGAGGTCTATCAGTCTATTCTCCTCACATCAGGGTTTAACTCCTTCCTGCTAGTTTCTCTAGATAGTGAGGATTTGCAAAAGCTGGTCTACTAATTTTCCAGGGTGCATACTTATTAAATCTCCCTCTTTATCTGGGGATGAGTCTAGCTCCAAACATTTTAAGGCTGCTCCTGATGTTTCAGACGACTCACCTGTAGCTCCTCCTGCTGCCCGGCCTCCTCCAGTCTGTGTGTCAACAGCTGAATGGTGACACGGTTCTTCTCATCCTGGGCCTGGTGGATAGAGGCCTCCTCTTCTAACTGAAGGACCTTGTGACTGAGCTGGGATACTTCATCCTTGCATTTCTGACTCTGGAGCAAAATGGGTTAAAATACAGGTGACAAAGTTATTTTTTTAAACTGGAAGCTCAATTCAGATCATTCCAGTGGCTCCCCACCAGGGCCAATCTTGTTCCTCGAGGAACATCTGGCTATGTGTGGAGCCAGTGCAGTGCCAGTTCTCACCATGGGGAAGAGCATGGCTCCTGGCTTCTAGTGGTGGGGGAGCCCAGCATCCTCCAACGCGGGACAGACCTGGCCCTAGACGGCCACAGCCAAGGATGGGAAACTGCTCCACTGGCTCAAGGAAATGAGACCCATCTGGACCGTGAGAGGTGGTTACATCATGAACATACAAACCACTGCTCTGAAGACCTTTCATATTTTTCTCATTTTTTTCATGGTTATTTCCAATTATTTTAAACTTTTAAAGGAAAAAACCTAATTGAAGTGTATGAAGCTTCTCAAAGTCTTCTATGATCTTTGTCCTTAAACACATAAACATAGCTTTCGGCCAGGGGCACGGGCAGGTGATTAAGGTGTGTATTCCGCTTTCTCTGAGTGCGCTGGCAGGCAGATGGTGGACACACAGGACATGCCCACTGGGTGGACAAGCCAACGCGCCCCCCCAGGCTCTCACGGGAAAATGCCAGGGACATTCAGTGTTTGTGGCCTGGCCTCCTCCGAACTGGTTTTCAGTGCCACCAGCACCGCACACACGCGCCACTGTCCCCGCGCTGTGCTAACCACCATTTCATTATCATGTTTTTGAGGATTTGAGAAGCAGATGATGTAACCCTGAAAGTGTTTCAATGTGGATTATCTGTGCTTAGTGAGTCTACATGTTTTTCTCATGATCATTGCTCCTTCTCTCTCCGTGAACAGATTGTCCCCTCGTCCTGTCCTTAAAATCCCAGCAATAAGGGTAAAGAGGTGTTTTCAACACATCATAAGTTCACAGCCATCGAGTCTGGGATGGAACTCTCTTGTGTTTATTACACTTTATTGTGGATTCTAAGTTTTGATACATGTTCACCTTGTTCTCCTTGATGTTATTCAGAGCCAGAAATGGAACTTCCCTTCAGTCCATTTTCTTGTGTACCTTAATATTTCGTCTTTGTTTGGAAATAATTTTAGACTTATACACCAGGTGCAGGGCTGTTACAGAGAACACCTGTAACACCCGCACCCAGGCGCCCCAGCTGCAGCGGTTCCCCGCATGCTTTGTGGGGATGCGCTCAGCAGGTGCATGTACATGCACATGTGTACACACACACAGACACAAGGCGCTTTTCTGAGCCATGGCCCTGCACTATGTGTTTCCTAAGGAGGTGAGTGTTCTCACATGACTGTCATGTAGGTCTGGCTTCAGGACACCATGCCACCCGCATCCCAGTTTTGTCAACCAGCCCAGGCATGACCCCTGGAGCACCCCTTCTGCCCCTCAGGCAGTGCCTCAATCTGGCAGGCTCTTAGCCTCCTTAAACCTGGGATGCTTCCGCAGGCTTCGTCTCGTAGGACACTGAACATCTTGACAGACACAGCCCCACCCCACCCCTCCCCACCAGCAGTTCCTCATCTGGGGCCGGCCTGCTGTTCCCTGTGCTTCGGCTCAGGCGCCACCGTATGCCCCTTAGGTATCCCACCGAGGGTGTGGAGTGCCTCTCTCCATGTCTGTGTCCATCACCTTCTTAATTCTAACTTGTAATCATCTGGGTTTTAGTGCAGAAGACAAAATGAGATACTAGCAGTCATCTGGTCACATGTTAAAACAAATGGATGTCTGTGCTACCGGGCCACCTGTGAATCTGAGCAGGCCTCAAGGCCCAGGGTCCAGCTGATAAGCAGCATAAGGAAAAGAAGAGCAGACTGAACAACAGTATCCAGAAACAGTTGGACAGATCCAGAACGTGGGATGGCCAGGTCTCTCCAAAGACACAGCCTTGTGGGGTGGATCAGGGCTTCCAGGTTGGGTTGTAAAGACTGGAGACACATGGAGGCAGGTAGGCCATATCTTCCAGAGATGGCCTTGATGGATCTCTCATCCCATATCGCCTTCCTGGGCACTCACTCACCCGGAGGAGCCGATGTCTCTGCCTGTCCTCGCGGGATCTGAGCAAGGGTGGCACAGAATGGATTCTGAGAGCAGAAGCCTTGTGCCTGCCATGTGGTCCTCCTGTGCCCCCTTGGGACACTCCATCCAGGAGCCAAGCCCCAAGGGGAGGAGCCCCCAGAGGACCTCAGCCCCAGCCTCTGGGTCACCAGCTGCCAGTCTTCCCAGCCCCAGTGACATGGAGCAGAGGTGGGCCACCTGTCCCCATACCCTATCTGAACCCCTGACCTGTGAGGTTCTGTGAGGGCAACAGAGTGGCTGTTTCCTGTCACCAGAAGAGCATCGATAGTTCAATGAGCCACCCTCAACTGTATCATAGTTCCAAAAAATTTACCATATAAGACATTTCTGAATAGAGGGATGTAAATACGGTCGGAATACTGGATAGTGTCAGATAATTAAGTTTCTTAGGTGTTACGGTAGCACTGTGGTTAGGTAGAAGATGCCGGTGAACTATTTAGAAGCACAGTCTCACTTATCTGTCACTTACTTTCAAATGGGCTTGAAAACACACACAGACACACAGTACAGGGAGATACAAAGACAGGTATAAACTAACCAAAGTACGTAGAGTATTAATACCAACCATCTAACTAAGGTTGTAGTATGATGGCTGACCAGTGTGGGTTATGTCAACTTTTCTATGTGTGTAAAGCTTTTTATATTAAAAAGCTGAGGGAAAGAAAACAAATGGATACCTAGAATGCACTTACAAGTGTGTCCTAGAAATCAGCCCAAAAGGAAAAGGGATGACCCAGGAAAGCCCCTGATGGGTCGTTTCACAGGAAGTTGGTCTGCAGGCAAATGCAGTCTGAACTTTTCATCTTCAATCAGCCCAGGAAGGACCCTCATGAGGGAGAAGGTCCAAGCAAGACCAGCATGCACTCTCCACAGAGGCAGACACCCAGAGCCAGGCCAGATGGTCCCCGCAGCAGAACCCCCCTGGGGCCTATGTGACAGAGGCGGCACAGGGAGAGAAGAGCCGTGGGACTCCCCTTGGGGCCAGCGCGGGGCTGAGAAGCCAGACATGGCAGATGCCCCCAACACGGCCCACCCTGAGAACAGGGCCTGCATTTGGTAAGGTGGCAGGACAGGAGATGAACACCCACTGTATCTCTGCATCCTAACGGTGAGCATACAGAACCTGAATCAGAAACATAATACTAGTTCTGGCCTCTGGTCTCCCCATTAAGAAAAAGGCCAGGTAAAGCTGAAGTTAGCCTCTCTCTAGAATCCATCAGAGAACTGTTGTCACAGGGCAAACCCACACCCTGGAAACTGGTTCAAAGCTCACTGGCAACAGGGGCCAGAGCCTGAACTGGGGTGGGGGGGGGTGAGGGGGGTGGGGGGTGCCCCCTAAGGATGAAGGCCAGAGCTGTACCTGGCTGGCCGGCTGATGGGTTAGCAAGTGATGGTCTCAGGGGAGCCCCCAACGTTCCTGAGACACACCAGGTGCTTGCCCTTAACATCAGAGAAAATCCCCTCAGGCCTTGGGACTAGCAGGTGGGACTAAGGGATTGCTCTGGACTGTACTGTGACCCCTCCAAATTCCTATGTTGAAGCCCTAAGCCTCCAGTAGGGCTGTATTTGGAGATGAGGCTTTCAGGAGCTAATGAGGGTTCAGTGAGCTTCCCTGGGGAGGGTCCTAACCTGACAGGACTGTAACCTTCTGAGAAGCAGAGCACCATCTCTCCCTCTGTGTGGCCCCGGGGGAAGGGTCAGGTGAGGACGCAGCAAGCAGGGAGCTGTCTGCGAGTCAGGAAGATGGGAGAGCCAGCCAGCACCTAGTCCTGGCCTCTGGCCTCCAGAACTGCAAGACAATGCATTCCTGTTAAGTCCCCCAGCCAACCGCGTTTTGTTACGGCGCTGAGGAGACAAACACAGTGGCCATTCTGAAGGACACTCAACATAATGTTGTGTCAACATCAATAGCTTGGTTATGATATGTGTTATAGGCTGATTCCTGTCCACCCACAAGTCATATATTGAAGTTCGCACTCCTAGTATCTCAGAATATGACTTTATTTAGACACAGGGTCTTTAAATAGGTGATTAATAGAAAATGACGTCCTATGAGTGGGCTCTAATCTAACATGATAGTGTCCAATTAAGAAGAGATTAGAACATAGACTTGTAAAAAAAAAAAAACACAGACGTGTAAGAGGGAAGGCCATGTGAGGACACAGGAAGATGGCCATCTAAAGACAGGCTCAAGAAATTAACCTGCCAACCCTTGACCTTATACCTCTAACCCCAAGAACTGTAAGGAAATAAATTTCTGTTGTGTAGGCCACTCAGATTGTGGTATTTTGTTATGTCAGCTCTAGTGAACTAATACAGATATTACACTGCAGTTTTATGAAGTGTTACCAGTAGAGGATCAAAGTCTTTGGGATACAGTAAAGAAGGAAAATTATGGCAATACAGGCCCACCTCAAGAAACAAGAAAACCTCAAATACAAAATCTAACCTTATAGCTAAAAGAACTAGAAAAAGAACAAACAAAACCTAAAACCAATAGAAGGAAGGAAATAATCAAGATTAGAACAAAAAGGGGATCCCTGGGTGGTGCAGCGGTTTGGCGCCTGCCTTTGGCCCGGGGCGCGATCCTGGAGACCCGGGATCGAATCCCAATTCAGGCTCCCGGTGCATGGAGCCTGCTTCTCCCTCTGCCTGTGTCTCTGCCTCTCTCTCTCTATGTGTGTGTGTGACTATCATAAATAAAAAAAAAAAAAAAAAAAAAGATTAGAACAAAAATAAATTATGTAGAAACTAAACAAACAAAAAACCAGTAGAACAGATCAGTGAAACCAGGAGCTGGTTCTTTGAAAAATTAATAAATTTGATAAGCTCCTGGCTAGACTAATCAAAAAGAAAAGAGAAAGGACCCAAATACATAAAATCACAAATGAGAGGAGAG